TTTTTTTTTTTTTTTAGGGAAAGCAAAACCGAATATGTGCATATCATCCCAAATGTATAGCATCTTTAATACCATGGGAACATTTTTTTTTTCCTCTTATTCTACTGTTTTTTTCTTTTTGTTTGTTTTTTTTTCTTCTTTTTTTTTGGTTATTGTGGATGTGTGCGCGTGTGTGCTGTCGCTTAGTCGACATCAGCGTTTTGTTTTCCTCTAAGAGGATTGTTGCTCATTTGTGAGCCTTCATTAATGGGATGTTTTACGGAAGTGGCGGAGGTATTTATGGGTTCTTGGTTGGTTGCATCTTTATAACAATTCCTGTTTAACTCAGATGGCTTTCAGGTCTTTAAATTGTACTAATTTAGATTACCTACCACGCAGTAGTGCTTCAAGACACTACCTTCTAGAGCAAATTTCAAAAAGCAAAAATGATTTGGGTTTACATTTAATTTTGTATTTTTACATTTTTCATTTGTACCTGTTTTAAGTTCTGTCCAAATAAACAAAAGGCTTTTTTTTTTTTTTTTGGTCCAGAGAGCTAATAAATTGCCAACGAGTTTAATTAAAAAGAATGTATAAATCCAAATAAGCACCCAATCTCTGATGGCAAATTTCCCTTCTCGAGGTGTTACTTTGTTGTGAACTTTTTGAACTGAATAAAGTTGAGAATTTTACAACCCTGCCGTCACTCGGATTTCTTTTCCTTTAGTTTCTTTTTTTTTTGTTCCAGGCCATTTGGTGATATTTGTAGTGGGTCCGCAGTCCTTCTCCACATAGAAAACCCCTCAAACGTATTTTACGTGGCATCCTTTGGTCTTTCAACAGCTTTCATTCTTACTCCGATCGTTCCTATCATTTCTCTGATAATTTCTCTTGTTAAGCATTTTTATTCATCTCTGTCCAACAGCAGTGGTTTTCCTTCTGTCTCTGCTCTTTCACATCTTCAAGTGTGTGCCATTTTCTTCAATTAACCTTTGTTTCCTGCTTCTTTCCTAGCTTATTTTGGAAATGCAACTCTCTGCTATAGACTCCAAAGAATACTAACCACACTGAGAACACCCCCCCCCCCCCTCAGAAGACCATATGGCATCATGACACGCTTCACCTCAGACGCTTTGATTTGTACCGAGCTAACAACATTTTGTAAGTACGTAGGATTTCAAACGCTGTAAATAAATATGGTTTGAAATCTTAATCGTGATGATTATGTTCTTTCCTATTGTGCCTTTGACATTTGACCCCCCCTCTAAAACGATCAGTTTGGCCAAAGAGCTTCTACATTCAGGCGTATTAACAATTCCAGAAACGTAAAAGAAGGATTTAGGTTTGAATCAGTGCAGCTGTGGCATTAACCCTTTAAATTGTCTGTATTTCTGCTCATTTTAGTGTAACTTGAGGTAGGGAAATCAAAAGTCAATGGGCAGTGATATTTTCATTAATCAAAAAAATAGTTTTTGTCAAACGTTTTAGCTCCTAAAGCAACGTTGGATGCCAATCTCAGGGTCTGAGGCGGAAGCGGAGCACATCCCGACGTGGGTCCAGACCAGGAGAGGCCGGTGATGAAGGTGATGATCGATGACCACCCCCGGCGACATCCGACCACTTCCGGCCCGGACAGATTTGGCCGAGGCCCTGTGGCGTGCTAACTGATCCCGCTCCTAATCCCTGTTAACGTACTGGTATTACACGAAAGGTTACGGTGACTCTGAAACGCTGAAAGCCGAAACCTAATGCGCCAAAGAGCTGGTGGACTTCACCAAATCGGGCTGGTCTGGTGGATTTGGGCCCAAAAAAAAAAACAACCCCAAACTGGACCTCAGTGACCTCCTGAAGCTACAGCTTCAGCACAGCTTTTTCCAGGTGCATTAAGAGCTCGTGTCTGCTTTGATGTTATTATATCCGGGACCGTAATTCAGAATGCCTGTAAAAGGACCCCCCCGACCCCCCCTCTTCCCGCCCCCAAGCCCCGCTTTTCTCCCTTCCTGACCCACATCTAGTGATCCTCAGCCATTCTCGGCATCCACTGTTGCGGAGAAGAAGGAACAGCTGGGGTAGCAAACCCCCCCACCCCCCCGCCCACTTCTTCCAACCTCCATGTCCCCTTATGCCCTGTGAGTGTGCTGTGGGCAGGGAAGAGTTATTAATACCCCTGAGAGCAAGAGCTGACAGGAAGAGCCGGGAAAGGCACTCGCAACCCACAAATAGGGGGGGGGGGGGGGGGTTGACCCCCTACCCAGTGGCCCATAAGCCTCCATTCAGGTCCGTCCCACCACCTGGGCGCACTGGACAGAGGCCACAGGTCAAGGTGAAACTAGGGATAAGTGATTGGAGGATCATTCAAAGTGATCTGCTGCCCCCCAGTGGACAAAACAAAGAGGGATCAGTTTTTTTGGGGGGGAAGGAAAAAAAACAAACAAACAAAACTCTGGCAGGAGATTAGAGGCGTTTGCGTTTTATTGGTCCCAGTGTCGCACAGCACAGACAGGAATGACCAGTACTACCTATGTCATGAGCGAGGGGGATACTGGGAAGCGAGAGAAGGCCGACTGAGAACCGGAACAGTGGAGGGTTTCGGACAGTGAGATCTCACAATCTAAACTCTTATTTCCCCAAGCGGAGGTAAAAGGTGATGTCCAGAAATGGTACGGCCCGAGCAAGTCAATTTATATAAGCTCAGTTTTGCAAATGCAAAGTAAAACGACCCTTTCTCTGTCACAATAACTCAGAATTTTCTTCTTAAAGTGACCTTAAGCGACCATAGTTATTGTAAATTAATTCAAGCGATCGTCGTAATCTTCGGCTGACGAGTTTACTCCAACTGAGATAAGATTCTGATCAGTTTCAGTTCAATTAATCCATATCGAGCTCCTCTCTGTCTACATGAACACAGTTTGTTAGGCAATTCAGTCTAGAAGCATTCAGAGAAAGGCCAGTTAAAAAAAAAAAAAAGAAAAAGAAAAAACCCAATCGTCTTTCCTTTGGGAGGCAGAAGTGACTTTCTGTGCGTGGCCCGCCGCGTGTTGCTGGGAGTTTTACTTTGTTTTCCACGCACTCGGCCGCAGCTGCACAAACATGGAGCGGGCCGGGCCCACGGAGGACCTGGGGGGTGGAGGGGGGGGTAGATGGACAGAGGGGAGAGTCCAGAGCGAGGTTACACCGTTAGTTTTGGCTGGGTTTTCTTCTTTTTTTTTTGTGGAATATTCGGCCTTCACGGAAGGATCTCATGATTTTTTTTCTCTCCCTTTGATCGTCGGCTCCTTTCGCACCCGTCTTCCCCCCTTTATGTGGTCCGGATCTGAGCGTAGCGAGTTTTAGACCTGGGGAGAAGAGAGAGGGAAAAAAAAAACTATTGGTTACCGAGGCGTTTCTTTTTTCTTTTGTAGGGCTTTGGGGCGGGGATGTCCACGTGTGTCCTCTCTGGTCTGTGACCCACCGGGGGGTCTTCTCTGCTGCCTGCCTGGGCTGCGAGGTGCTCTTAAACTGCGCCTCCAGGCGGGCGTAGATCCCTCCCACGGGCTGCATCCAACCAGAAAAAAAGGCAGAAACAATCCCACATCAGGGAAATGTCGGCGCCGGTCAACACACAAAACGCGAAGAAAACAGCGAAATCCCATTTACAGTATCCTGTTCTTAAACCATATTTCATGCACACACAGCACATTTTGGGACCTCCACCTCTTTTGTGTCCTTGGCTTTGCTGTGCTCCTGGTCTCCGAACCTCATCTTGGTCAGGTGGCCGATGACCTCCACCATGCGGCGCTGGTCTGGAGTCACAGACGGTAAAAAAACAAAAAAAGCAAACAGCCGATGATCAGTTTTCGAAAAAGCGAATGGGAGAAGAAGCCCATCTCACCTTCTTCTCTCTGAGCGTCCTGGTTGTAGCGCATGGAGCGGGAGCTGTCCCATTTGCTCTTCTGGATGCTGACCCTACAGCCCGGAGACAGGAAAAAACAAACAGTCTGACCCTTTAGGACTGCGTGAAAAGGGGGTTGAAATTGTGTGTGTGCGGCAACTTACGTAAAAGGTGTATTGTCCCTGCTTTGTGACTAAAAAGTGGACAAAAAAAAGAAGAAAAAAAGAGAAGAAATAACAATTGTACATCTCAATATAGATTTGAACATTTGAACATTTAAAATTCTTGACAATGCAAACGCAAGCACAGAAAAAAAAAATCAAGATACTTTACAAAATATTAGCCTTTGGGGGGAAGTGATTATATTTACAGAGGGAAAATATACTAAAACGGTTTTTGTTTTCGTGGGTAAAAAAGCTGTTGGCTGGGCTGAACAGGGGGAAATATTGACTCAAACCTGGGACTCACTTTCTCAGATTTGTCCTTGCGTTGAAAGTTGGGAGAGGACAGCTGTTTCTTCAGGGGTCTGTGGGCCTTTTTGGCCTTCTTAGCAGCTGGAAAAAAGTCAAACATAAGCAGGATGAGAACCGTCCAGAGGGGGGGGGCGCCATCTCCAGCCTGGAAACAGGAACTGCTTCACCGAAGTGGAGGTGATGTTAAAAACGGATGTGTTACAAATACAAACCCAATCAGTTGTAAATCCATCTGCTGCAGGTTACTGTTTTTTGGCCTTTTATTGTTTTTTTTTTAGATATGCACTTTTTTTCTGGATACTTCTTCTTTGGCAACATTTTTACTTTGCTTTGAAAAAGGAGGCTGTCAAATTGTATTATCTTTCAAATGTTTTTAGTCGAGCCAATCAGGCTCAAAGTGTTTAAAATGTAACTAAAACCCCAGTAAAGTGATGTTTAAGCCGTTTTTTAAAATCCAACTTTTAAAACTATGTTTTTCCCTTTTGGACCTAAGGTTGAAAGTAAAAAATAAATAAATAAAAACAAGTAAAAAATTACTAAAGAAATGTGCATGTTTGGTTTGATCGTTACAAAGAAAATACATAAATATGTAACTGTCTCTAGTTGCTTGTCAGTATAAATGCGTATGGTTTGAAGTGGATTTTGTTTTGGAATGCGTCATTTTAAAGGGTATAATAATGAGGTCACGGGGAACTAAAGCATTGCGACGCTCTCCCCGATGCTGGACATCTTGCGTTGTGTTCACTGACTCTAATCTTGACTCAGATATGTGATTGTTAAAGCATATTTTTACCTCTGAGTTTTTAAACCATTCGTTTCAAGTTGTGTGGCGTGTTCCCCACCCCAGCTATAAAACAGTGATTGGATCAGTTTTTTGTATTCATCTGGGATCTGGAATTTGATTTTCCGCCCTCAAACTCGACTCTGTTGAGGTTTTGTTGGTCTTTAAAGCTGGTCTTGACTGCGTATCGAACACAGAAAGGTCTAAAAGTGGATTCTCTTTCTTGGAACTTTCATTGGCTGGAGAGAACGCTAAAACGTCCACTTCCAAATAACGTCAACTTTATGCCTGAAACTGTGCCTGCTGCTTCTAGAGGTTTGAAGGTGCAGGATCATTAGATAAAGCCCTAATCAGCTTTGAAAAAAGGTCATGAGGCGTGTGTGAGTGTATTATTCCATGATGATTCACAGTGTGGTTACCGGGGCTTTGTCAGCTCTCAGAAAGAACGGAGGAGATGGACGTGAAACCGAGGTTGGATGATGAGGGAAGATCTTATGGCCATTATAACAGGGATGAGGAAAAAGGATGGCATCAGTTACCGGCTATCACTTCCATTTTCTAATCTTCTGCTGGATGGATTAAACAACATCATAGTAGATCAGCAGCCTAGTAGGTAGGCTGTAGATCAGGATAGAATGAACTGAGGTACTTGTTTAAGTTGAATGAATTTGTATTCCTTAAAAAAATGCAGCAAAACATTGGCAATTATGGCAAGAATAGGGGTTCTAAGACAGTATGGGATACTTTAAGGTGGATTACTGTCGGATCTGGTTTAACAGACGCAGAAACCCGCTTCACAACTTTATCAAAACGCAGACATAAGCACCAAGCTTGGTGGGTGCTCATGTCTATATATTTATGTTGTGGAGTACATGTGAATCCAGAACTTAAATGTGTCGTTCGCCTCTGTTCGTGTGCTTGGTTTTTCTTTTATAAAACCCCAGACTGACCGTCTGTCTTTCTCTGAAGCGCAAACTAGGGTTGTCGAATGACCCACGGGTGTTGAATTACGGTCCAAATAGACCTATCAGCTGGCTTCTGATTAAAACAACGCTGAGGACCGGCAGATTGTGGAGACCTAAACTCTACGCTGGAGGAACTTTTTCCATGTTATTTGGAAGATGGCACATTTAAAGCTAGTCCCAAAACGAATCAACCGGAAGTCGAATGGACATATCTCGGGGGGTTGGGTTGTAGACGTAGACGTGGCCACGAATACCCCCCAAAACCAGACTTTGACCGCTTGCTCGCTAAACGAGATTGGACGCGCACCTTGGGTATTCCGGTGGGGTCGAAGCGCAGGACCCTCTGCCTGCAGCAGGGATGCATCCCGGCGCCGTGCCAGCCCCGCTCGGCGCCCATGCCGGGGTACAGCACGCCGTCCGGGTGGTACTGGCAGTGGGTCAGCTCGGCGCACACGAACACCTGCACAAACGCACAAAGCCACGCCCCGGTTCCTCGCCTGGCTCAAAGGGGGTCCTATCTCCCGTCGTCGAATCTGTCGAGTCGTCGGGACGCTTTTCTTTTTTGTTTCTGACCTGCTGGCATCGGGAGCAGGTGAGGTGGTTGATGGTGCCCCAGATCCTCCAGTAAACAAGGACCCAGGACTTAAGCTCCTCGTACAGGCCGGTGATGTAGTCGTGCACGTCCCAGCTCTTCTGCCTGCGGACGCATACGTACACACACACACACACATAAATAAAATGGAGTTTTTACAGCTTCCTCCGCATTCTCCATCATGAGTCAGTGCATACGTCTTGTCCAGTTCTCCGAGATGGAGAACAAGAGGGAGACTTTGCCGTCTAGCCTTATGTAAACAACATGCAATTTGAAGAGCAAGGATCTGGTGGCAGACTTTGTGAGGGCAAAACCCAGTTTTAGACCGGTTCCACATGAGAGGGAGGAAGTGGGGGTCAGGGAGATGTACAACAAGCTACTGGACAACAATCTGGACTAGGCAAGCAACACAATGCCCCAGAGTAGTCTGAATTTCTTGGGTAGATTGAGATCTTTTAAAATCTGTCCAGCTCCATGATAGGACAAATGCTGGCAAAACTGGACCGAGCAACTAAACTTATTGTTTAGTCCAACTATTATATAGTGTTTAATCAACAATACCACATTATGTGCGTCCATATTCAATAGACTGTTCTTCTTCACTGTATATTTTGGGTTTGTTTTTGTCTCCGTTCTTTTGCTACACTGTTGCCGGAGCTTTTGTTTTTTTTCAAAGGGAACCTCTGGGATCCGTAAAGTTCTCCCCCATCTCGTACCTAACGTGCGTGTAGATGATCTCTCCTCGGACATCGATGTTGATTTTCCCCGGGACGCAGGACACCTTCCTCTCTGTGTCTTTGGTCAGCAGCTTAAGGCACAGACCACACCTGCGTCGGAAAGATTTACCTTCAGAACTCTCCAGTAGATGAAGTACTCGGCAGAAAAAACACAAACAGATAGACGGGGGGGGGAAAGAAAGTAAACTAACCTGTAGAGAGTGGAGGCGTTTCCAGGGGAATCTCTGCTCTGGTAGTTTGGATCGAACAGACGTTCAATTTTCTTTTGGAAGAGTTTACTTTAAGGGGAAAATCACAGTTTTACAAAATGAATCATACACAAAGTTTTTTTTTTTTTTTTCATGTAACTTTAATTTCTGCTACTCAAGTATCAGTTGTTTTCTCCAACTAAGGACATTTCCGGTGGAGTGACTAACCTTTAGACTGAAAAGTCTGCTTACAGGATTGTTTACAGCCCACTTTTTAGCACTTAATGCTCAGTTTTCCTGATTAAAAGTTGAGCCTTTAGTTAGAATATAAACTGTATCCAGGTGAAACGATTTGGATCCCGTTTCTTTATCAGAGGTTTATCAGTGGCTCCTTTGTGTGAAAAGTTACCAAGGTGCCCCAAAAGGCCGAGAAACTACACAAACATCTGCACTTGCATGAAGCGACAGGAAGTAATAGCGACCATTTATTGAAGATTTGATTTTCTGCTAACATACCGAGCCAGAGGAGACCAGTTATTCCAAATCACTGAAATGTCCATGAAACAAGCAGACCTTAAATCAACTGAAACTTTTTAATGAAGGAAATAAACAGAATTTGTTGCACAGCAAAAACAAAAATCCACTAAAAAGGATGCTATTTGTGTCCACTTTAAAAGGGATTCCGTCACACCCAAGACGTTTCCCTATGTCTCATATATGAGGTCGCATGCATTCAATTTCAGGCACATAAGCTGAATGTATCTGAATGTGTTTGGGGAGAAAAATGAATCCAATCGTTTAAGGAATGAATTTGACAGCCTGTCTCCTGGAGTTGGACCTGGAATCTTCTTTTGAGCTACGGGAGCCCCCCCTGAGATGATCCGATTGGACTCTCAACGGTTCTGATTGTATCTCTGGGCCGAAGCCCGTTTGAACCATCTATTGTCCTACCTTTTAAATTTGTCCTTTTTGTCCCTTATGTCGTCAGCCTCGTTGTGGTTGAAGAGTTCGGCGATGCGTGTTGCCAGGTTGCTGTTGATGCAGTTCATGTTACAGGGGGTGGCCACTATGGCGCTCATGTGTTTGTGACAGTATTGGATACACTCCTCCACCTGAGCATAAACAAACGCAAAACAGGTTTCAGCTGGAGGGGTTAAAGTCTGTGATCCTACAAATGCATATTTTCATTACAGAAATATTAGAACAAGCTAAAAGGCTAAGAGAACTTAGCTACAACCTTCACGATCATGCAGCGGTAACAAAAAGGGGTACTTTTTCCTGGGGTATTTAGTTTTTCTAAACTCTGAAAAAGCAAAGGGGGCCAGAACACACCACCGAACTTTTAGGGTGCCACTTCACAACACTTACTAACGTTTCCATCTTCAAGAACTCGGAGGAGATCAGGATTGAGATCACATTGCTGGGCTCTGTAACCGACAAACAGCACATGACCAAAAAAAAATAAAAGACAAAACAACATGGCACACATGGCCAAACACACACACACACCACATTTAGTGATCACTACATCAGGCACCATCCATGGACACAAACAGCTGGAGAAAGTGAGTCTTACCCAGGCGGGGTTTTTCCTTGTTCCCCTCTCCGGCCGAGTTCCTCCTGACGTAGTTCATAAGCCAGTCGAAGATCTGCACGTCGCAGTGGACCGAGATGTCCACTTCTTCCCACCTCTGTTGGTCGACCGACAGATACTCGGCGAAGTAGCGCATCTCTTTGACCAGGAGATCTCTTGGGCACGTGAAGTCCTGCTTTAGGTTCTTGGTCTCGTCACACACATGGATCACCATGTTGGGACTGAGTTAGGGTTAGAGGAAGCACTGTTAGGAAAAGTATCCTTGTATCCTTTGTCAGGTAATGTTGCCCATCTTCCCCGAGTGGTCTACTGTAAACAAAACGTCTCCCAACTCACTCTCGTGGCTTCTGGGGTTTTTCGTCTTCCTCCACTGAAGCTCTTTTCTCTTTCTTCTCAAAGGAACTTCCTCTTCCGGAGGGAAAGGACTTGGAGCCTGCAGACAGGGGATCATGGCTAATGATTACAACCAGAAGTGATTCCAGTGAAAAAAGATTTATTTAAGAAACTCATCTTTGGTGCGCAGTTTGTTGCGAGATGATCAATGAATTGTAATTGAAATGGTTTCCTCAAATAAAAAGTAGAAAGAAAAGTAAATCTGGAGGAATGTCAGAGGATAAAGAGCAAGGGATAAGAGCCTGAAATGGTCAAAAGCCAGAATCTGTGAATATATAGGGCTGTACGGCGGCAGGTAAGTTTATCGCCTTCCGGTTGATTTTTTTACAGAGATTTTACACAGAGACGGTCAAGAGGTTGAATGTTCTGCTTCAGCTGTTTTAACTTCTCCGAGAAGTGCGATGAGTTGCCTAAAATTTGAGGATAAAAGGATGAATTCTGTTTGAAATAGTAATAAGTTTAAAAATGGAAAACACTGCAGATTAAAGAGTCTGAAGTATCAAAGCCATCACTGAGACCAGTAAAATTCCAGAAAGACTTGGAGTACTGGAACTGATGGAGGAGCCCAGTCATGTGGAATTTAATAGATTAAATAAACAGAAGTTTAATCTGAAGCAAGTCTTTGGGAACAAACAGAAACATTAATAAACTTAATAACCAAAGTAACTGTCAAATTTTAACATTTTTGGTTCTAACCAAGTGTTGAAAGAGTTCTAAAAAATAACGTCATCTTGCTAAGCACTGTTGAAAAACAAAAAGTTAAAAACTCTTGAAGCTGAAAATGATGCAAGGTTGCAAAACAATCAGATTGCGGTTAATACAATAAAATAATTTCCATCTGGGATTATTAAAGTATTTCTGATTCTGATTCTGAAAATTAACATTCCTGTGGGACTCCTGGCACAAACACGAGTAACGGGCTGTTGTTGTTGCCTAAACTGACTGAGCTGAAGGTTTTATTGTACCTTTGACTGGTAAGAGATTTAAGGCAGGAACCCACCTGAGACTTTGCCACAGCTCTGGCCGCCTCCCTCGTTTGTAACCGCATCTCCGGAGTCCAACAGGGAGGACGGAGCGTCCGAAGGGGAGCTGCCTCCTTCCGTCAGAGCGTTACACTGGTGGTCGACGTGAGGTAAGCCCCCCGTGCTCTTCAGCTCCTCAAACCGAAGGGCACACTGCAAGATCACATCAGCGCCGGTGAATCACTTCTCCCGAACAAAATAGCGTCGCCAACTTGTGCGGAGGAAGACGGGATGAAATGGAATAGGTGGAAAGGTTGAACGGACGATGGAAGCATTCATAGTTACCCAGCGTTGCAGTTACCTCCTTGGGAGTAAATCCCGGCACAAGTTTGGCTACGTTGTCCCAGTTTATGGGCTGGGGCACTCCCCACAGAGAGCCCAACACCATGTCCAGCACGAGGATGTTGTTGTCATACGGAAAGTTGTTGTTGTCCGAGCAGAAGCGGCTCATGTCTACCAAGTCAGGGACAAAAAAATATTTTAGTCAACAAAATTCTCTATTCTTGATCTTCCGTTGTAGTTTTTTTTCTCACAAATGAATCGTTTCAAATTCTAAACCGATACGGTTTCATGTTATTATTCCTGTTTATTATATATTTTAATGTCTTCATTTGTCATTTCTAAGAAATCCTTTTATCAGTTTTTCTTATTACAGTTGTGACTTTATCCTAGCGATCTTACCCTATCTATCATGCAAATAAAGAACAATAATCATTTAAACTAGTTTTTGTCATCTGTATGCAAGGTTTTAAATTAAAGAATGACTTAATTTGAACAATGACTATTTGTTAGAGGTATGGGGAAGAATGCTGTTGAGTCACTCATTTTAGGAGTAAAGTTATTATAATCCTAATCTTATTTATCTCTCAAACCTATGCAAATAGCAGCATCCTGAAAAATCCACGCATGGTTGAAGGTTCATGTAAACATACCTGCGACATAAAGATATTATTTAGAAAAAGAGGACTTACTGTGATTATTGATGCTGTCAAAGGCCGAATCCTTCTGCATCAACATCAGACGCTTCTAGGTCATTAAATCAATGACCTGGTTATAAACAATTACGCACATTAAAAGCAAGATGGATACATACTTAACTGGAGCGGGAGACAGTCTTTATCGAGGTCTAGAACGGTCAAAGAAGTGTACAAATATTTTGATCCATTGCGTGTTGTGATGCTGATGCTGCGGTCCTCTTCTGCCGGCTAACTACATCTATTGCTAAAGCTAACTTTGCGGGACGGGACAGTAAATGCTGCTTTTACGTACCTCTAGGAAATTCTTTATCGAAGGCTCCACGCTACGTTTTGCGAGAACAAGAGATAGGTTTCTCATTTAATTAAATGGTTGTGCGCTGAATTTCGTTTGCCGTTTCTTAAAAATGTATACATAAATACGAGGATTTACGTTTATGATAAATTACAGGGTAAAGAAAAAGGCTTCGAGCTAAACACTCTGTCCATGAGCTTAAATAATTCCGATAGTTCAGTAAAGCAGCAATAGCCTCCTTAGCTAGCAAAAGTCCTAGCTATACAAGTAGCTTTTTTAACATATACAGGTTCATTTCTCCGTCTGGTAGTCAAGGGAAATTATTACGACGATCCTAACACACAATGATTTTCTGACATAATTTGCACCTACGAAAAGCTCGTACTTTGCAATTCTATCTAGCTGAGTTGTCCCTGTTGACGCACTGCAGCAGGTTAAGGCGTCCCGTTGCCGAGAAACCTGGGTCGTAAACCCGGCCTTTCTGCCATAAAAACCTACTTACAAAAAAAAAAACATTGTATGACATTAATGTAAAATACTGGTGAGTACGTACATACTATTTTTAGCGTGCTGGTTTCTTTTGGAGGAATTTCCCCTTTGCCGATGTAAAAGTCATGTTACTGCGCATTGTACAGAATCCAAGTGTAATTTCTACCTTTCCTCAGTAGGACGCTGGAAGACACAACAGACAATACATAATTTCGAAGAGATTTATTTTCAAAATAATTATATTAAATATTTACAAAATTACGTAACTTGACTAATAAACTGCAGAAGAAAGTGCAAAGTTACCCCCCCTCTAATTCTTACTGAATCCAATCCCATTTGCTTGTCATCGAAAGCCACATGGAAGAGTGAGCAACTTTCAAAGAGGACCTAAACCACACAGGGTTACAAAATCACATACCTCTGTTCTTACACTTTCAGCGAACAGACAATACATGGGTGCGCCTCATTAAATTACAATTAAAAGAACACAAACCGTACAAGCTCTGTCTAATGCAATGTAAGGACACGTTTCATTTGTGGTTGAAATACAGATTTTTCGACTTAGCAGAGGCTTCCAAATGCACAGATGATCTGAATCAGGAACTACTCAAAGCAATTCATGATGCCGTTCATTCCATTACAGCCCAACCACTTACTGACAGGTGAGTTCTAGTCAAGCTCCGTACTTTAGGACTGCAAACATGTACAGAATGAACTAACCGCTCATTTTAATGAGTAGATAGTCAGAATCGTCACAGGTCAGTCTTCTCGGGGATGTTCAGCACTGTACTGGGGCTGGATGTGGTGTGAGTGAAGGAAGCTGGTGCTTCTCTGTACACGGACTCCAGCAGCTGATCTGCAGAGCTCTCCGCCGAGGCCGTGGGGAGATCCGAGGGGAAACCTTCGGCTGAGATCGACTGTGCGGCGGAGGGTGTTTGGGAGGCCTGCGTGTTCTCCGTCTGGGTCTGAGCGAGCCTCTCCATCTCTGCCTGCTTACGGCCTCTCCGCTTGCCCAGGACCTTGACATAGTTGGCCGGGACGAGGCCCGTGGTCTGACCGTCCACGCTGGCGAGCAGCCAGCCACGCACCCTGGGTTGTTGCTCTACACAAACCAATTTCCCAAGAATAATGCAGTTATTAATGAGCTAAGAAGCAGCTTGAGGATGATAACAACCAAAAATAATGGCGTATTATACCATTTAAAAATCACAAACGGGGAAAGAAATGATACAGGAATCAATAATACGTTCTCACCTTTGGGAGCGAGGTTGAGCATTTCTCCAGCCCGTACGGAAATCTCCTCCTCAGAGGCAGCAGTAAAATCATACTCTGCTCTGGCCACAACATGGTCGTCCTCCCCACTTGCCCAGTTAGTGGCTACAGAAAAACAAAATGTTTTATAGAATGAGACGGGCAGCACAGATCAAAAAGACGACACTTTTTAACTTTTTTGCTCAAAGCAAAGTAGCTGCCTTCTGCATGACTGCAAAATGCCACTGAGCCACAAGATTGGAGTCACTATCATCTCAAGTAACTTCCAAATCGTGAGTTTTCTTAATATTTTGATGCATCCATAGGCCACAATGTAAAACAATTGAAAAATAAAACAACAAAACAAGTAACGGCTGAGTTATACAGATGCCGAATGTTAACCTCACCATTATCTTCAGAGCCAGGGCTTGAGCTTAAAAGCTTCCAAATGAGGTAGGGTCCGCCTAGGACTACAGCAAAAAACAGGAAGATAGGCCAGGACTTGACGCTCTGATCCTCCCCTCCTGTTCCAAAGCCTCTGGATGAGCTTGTAGCCAGAGCATCTTTCGTGCTGTCTGCCCACAGCTCTTCCACCTCCGCCTCTGAGGCTCTCCCAAGAAGCCTCCGCAACCGTAGGTAGAAGTAGCGCAGGGTGCGCACCAGAGCAAACGCTGACAAAACCCTGGTGAGGTGAGCACGCAGCCTGGTCAGGTGGTTGGCCACGTCCAGCACGGCCCGGAAACTGTTATACACCGCAGAAAAGGTGGCATCCAGCATCATGCTGACGGAGGCGAAGGCCTGCACGATGCTCTCGATGGACTGGAAGGCGCCGCGGCTGCTCTCCTCCGCCTGCTGGACGAACCGACTGGGAGCGACCTCTTCCGAGTGGGGGAGGCGGCCGTAGCCACCCAGGCCGTAACTCCCTCCGCCATAGCTGTAAGGGCTGTAGCCGCCATAGATGGAGCTCCCATAAGGGCTGTAGGAGGACGGGAAAGAGTTATAGGAGGGACGGTAGGACTGCTGCATGGGGCGAGGAGGCAGTGGAGGGGCCATCCTGGTCAGGACCGGGCCGGCAGGAGTTGAGTTGGGAACAGATTGGCCAAAATCTGTAGACCTGTTTGGCGAGAGACAAAGAGAGAGCAAATCGCATGTTATAAACAGCTGTGATGAGTTCAGGTCTATTCTGGGAGTAGAAATGTTTCAATCTATTTACAGTCAACAACTAAGGTTTGCAATAGGAGGAAAACAAGGTGTTTGAATGCGGTGTATGTTGAATTATGATTTTCTCATTTCTGAAAAGGGCCAATGATATTCATGTTTCGTTTATGACTCAATAGTAGGACACCCTTAATATCGGTATGTGAGGTTTTGCAAGAAAACGTCTTGAAAACTAGTCAAATAAAAACTATAAAGTCAACAAAATCGTATATTTTCCATGTGACCGGTTCATAATAAAAAATTAAAGTTAAATTCTGGCTAAAAACACTCGTATTTGTAGAAAACCATGCGTATAATGTCAAGGCCTCATTCTGCATAACAAGCTAGCTAGTTCGTTAAAAGTTCTAGTGGAGGAAGTATTGTTAAACAGCAGTCATTGACAGCTCAGTATAAAACATGCAATTCAAACTTAGGAGTTTTGTATGACTTATAACGACTTAATAACAGTTTCTGTGCACGACTTTTAAAATGTTCGAATGCCCCCTCAAGTATTGACACAACTTTAGCATTAGCTTGTTAGCAAAAATCTAACGCTAGTCCTAAAAACACGACGGCAGCAAAGTTAATTGTTGTTTACCTGAAGTTTATGGGCACACCCATAGCCCCTGGAATTCGCCTTTCCCATGGTTTAGGCGGAGGGTGTGAATCCATCGTAGAATATGTGCCCTTTAGTTAAAAAATAATGTGAAACGTATCTATGCCCCTTGGTGTTTCTGTTGTTACCTTCCGGTTCACCTCGTAACTTTTAGCGTTTGAAAAAGCTAAACTTGTAGAGACAATTTAAATATGGCTCAAATATACTTTTAGTATATTCAGTGTCACAAGTGACTATTTAAACACATTGGCTTGGCTTTTCGGTGGTTGATATACAGAACGGAGATGATATAAAGTTTCTAATAAAAAATATCCCCATTTCCCCGGAATGCACCACCAGTGTGAGTATACGGGACCAGACCAAAACAACCGATTATGTCTTACCCTTCTTTAATCTATATAAATATGTTTGTAACTACAGTTATTTTAGAAAACATTAAATTAAATTAGACATGTAAACAATCAAACACATGAACATACACACGCACAAGCAAGCATTCTAAATCTACCAACTCACAACTCAACTACTACTGCCTGGTTTGTCAAACCTGTAACGGAAACTGATTTTTTCAGTTCCGTCAAAAGAGGGTGCTAAATTCTAAGAAAATGGATTGCATAATATGTTAACATCTGTCAACAGAGATGACATAGAAATCCCCTCTTTATTGAAGTACATAGACTGAATAACAAAAAACGATTTTTTTACTTCCTCAGATATCGCTTTACGGCTATTCATGAATACGCTACGCAATGTCCACACAGATGTTTGGACTGAACCAAAAAACACATTTTTAAAACCTGCCCAAGGAAAGTCAAAACAGTTCAAAAATCGTTTTTTTTTTTTTACTATTAATCAAAACGAATGTATGCATATTTAATCCCCTCATGAAAAAAAAAAATTCGAGAATATGAGTTTGTATGTAAACTTTATACTGAAAAAAGCACAAAGCTCTAATAACACCTTCAGATTTCTTGTAGTTGTATTTATATTTATCTGTTCTGTTCTGTTCTTCTAAAGTAATTCACACCTAATAGTTCATTCCCCACAACTCACTCAGAAACCCAACTTGGCTGAGGACAGTACATCCCAAAATGCAGATAAGTTACACTGGGCAGCATCTCTGGGACTGATGTCAGCCTCTTGGCTGCTGACTGAGCAACTCTGAGGGGTCTACTGTGTGGAGGCGTACTCCACTAGCTCTCACAAACGTCACTGAACCCTATAGTAAGGTTAGTGAGGGGGTTGGTTTGTGATGACACCGTTGAGGAGCTTAAAGAAAGCAACCCTGGTGTAGGTGGTTGGGTTTGTGTGTCGAACCGTCACGTTAGATTCTCCAGAGGTGGTGTGACAGAGGATGCCTGCGTCGTGACGGCGTAAGAATCCTTGGAGGGGAATCTTAAGCGTCAGTTTGTGGTGACGCTGAGCGTGGGAAGATGCTCACGTTGATGATCACTGTTCTAGTATTTAGCTTTTGTGCTATAGAACTGTAACCTTTTGCAATTGGGTTTGGGGGTGAATAAAACATCATTATACAAAAAAAATGTGATTAAATCTGATCCACAGAAAATTTTGATGTTTTGTAAAAACATATGTGGAGATACAGACAGAACATCTGCATTTATTAACCTGTCTACAAGGTTTTGGAGCTTTGTCAGTCCGACCCGAAAGCATTTAATGGGATTCACATCTTAAGAGTCTTAACACTTTACAGGAAAAAGCTTTTATATTCAGAACTTTTTTATTATGCATGTCGTCATTGCCCAGTGTCAAAAGAGAGTCGCACCAACATTAGATTTGAGATAATTTCTCTATTTTTAGAAAAAAGATGTAAATGAAAAAGTGGGGTGACACACAAAATGACCTCAGTCTGTAAAATATAAAACATTTACCTTGAAGTATGTGTCTCAAAATGGTCACAGTTTTGGATATAAATACACAGTTTAATCTCTGTACCTTCCAATAAACAGATAAGAAATATCCACACAAAATTTAATTGAAATAAACACATTTTCACTTTCAATAAGTCTCTGAACGGTGTTCAATGTTTTACTGTGCAAAAGCTTATGGACCATATTCAACAAAAACTAAATAAATCAAACAAGCAAAAAATAAATCTGGGACACCCACAAAAACTACCCTGTACATTCCTGTGTTCTTAAACGAAATGGGTGATAATCAAAAGAAACTGTAAATAATTCATGGAATCCACAGCCTTTCCGCAAAGTGCTCACACATTAAACCTCCTGGGCACAACCAGACGTTCTGTACCACACATTCACTTTAGCAGTCCAAACCTACAGGAAGATTCAAAGTTCCATCCTTCCTGTTGTATATTTGCCGGGCAGCACACTGGAGTGGCCTGAAAGTGATGTGGGTGCTTTGGTTTTAAAGAAATACTCACTGGTTCCCTCTTCTTTTTCTGGGTATGTGTATGTGAGCACCGCACAAATGTCAGGGGGGGGGGGGGATGGAGGCTTTCAGAAAAGTGGAAGTTTCAAAAGAAAAAAAAATTGGCGGAACGTACAGAACACAGTGTATTTAGCACAGTATGTTGACATTGGTGTGTGGCAGACATTCAAAAAAGAGGATATCGTACGTATCGTATCGGTCAACTGTTAGTTTTACACAGCTCTGTTGTGTCTAATTCTATCAGTACCATTACACATTTGAAACTTTTGGTTGTTGAGACTGTTTGCAAAAATTAATTCTGTCACAGCAATTGTGAGAATTTAATGATCAAGTGTCCTGTATCCATCTTGTAAACCAAAAAAGAGGAAAAAAAGAAATTTGCACACATATATACATGTACTTTACATTTTTAATGCTTATGTTTTAAGATGATACAAAAAACTTAACTAGCTTAGTTCATGACTTGATAATCAAGGGCTTCCATTTGCAGAATATGTAAACATAATCTTTATATAATGTCATGTAATTCTGTTTGTGACACAGTAACTTGGTTGAAAGAAAGTTATTGAAATAGCCATATTTAGCTTATACAGGAATCTAACTTTTTTAAAAATAGAAATGGAGGATGTTAAGGCAATAAAAAGAAAGAAATGCTTATTTTCGTGTAAACATAAAAGCAGGTAACATATTAATATTAAATTGCCAACTCTATCAGAAGACAGCCCTGGATATCACACACTGGAGTGTTTTTTTTTTTTTTACCTTTGCGTGGTACCATAAAGAAAAACACCTATGATTAAAACGTGTTCCAGGAAGTTTTCAAATTGTCGGAGCAGGGCACGAAAGGAATAAACATTTCACAGAGAAGGCTTGGCCTGATGACGAGGAGAACTGCAGTATATGTGGTCATTTATGACGTTTCGGCGTAGTTCCGCTATCTTCAAAATAAATCATTTACAGAACTAATGAACTTGGACCGAACACGCAAACTGCAGACCTAATGTGTGATTATTTGATTATTTATTATTTATTATTTTAACAAATATGGGCTTGGATGTTTTATCAAAAGCAAACCATACAAGGCAAATGTTTTTATAGTACAGCATCATCATTTATAGACTCCAGTGCAAGCAGGTCAAATTAATTTTGAACAGTAACATACATAAGTACATGTATATACAGTATATATATATATATATATATATATAGCCAAATTCAGCAATTAAATGCAACTTATGATAGCAACAATATGGTTTACTGCTTTCCTAAATTTCTTGAAATACCAGATGTTTATTCAGGTAGAGTACAGCGAGCTGGTGACGTCAGCAAACAGTTAGAAAAAAGAAAAAGGGGAGCGCGCAGAGGGAGGGAAGTTGAGAGAAGAGGGAGGAGACAGAGCAGCAGAGGTGGGGCATTACTGGAAATAGGTGGCCAAACAGGTTGAGCTTGCTTTTTTTTTTTTTTTTTTTTTTTGTTTCCAGGACATGGGTAGGAAATATTAAATGAGAGACACAACAGGGAGCGTCTTCGACTCGGTTTCTATCTGTAACCACAGTAACCCTGCACGTACAGATGTACCGCATGCTCCACATGCACATGCACAAGCAGGGTTTCTGCTGTGAGACTTTTGACAAATGGTGCTTTTAGCAGAAGTTCAATTTCCTAATTATTTAGGACATTTTGTCCTCTGAGTTCCAAACCACCTATCTGGACATCTTTTTGCAATATGGCGTTACAATATACAATTTGGTGTGAGATGTTTTTTTTTTTTTTCTGTATATTTATCCACTTTGGGTCAACAAGTTCAAGATCAAGAGTCCTTAAACGTGCGGTTACTGATTTTGTTTTTCTATAAAGCTGTTATGCTAAACAAATTCTGGGCAAATGTATAACTTGAAAAAGTCAAATGGAGGATTTCATCACAGTTATTCACAGGGTTCTAATGGAAGCCTCATTCTTCGCCATATTCATTCCATATTTAGTGTCTTCCATTTGCATTTCTTGTATTGTAACATTTTAGGAATCTTCCAAATACGTTGTAAATAAGATTTATTATTAGTATTAATATAAACCCATGTTGGTAGCTGGAGAATGCTCTCTGAAAATAGGTCTATTGATATAGGTCATTTTGTTCTGGACTCAACTAATCATTCATTTCTATAATATCACTTACAAAAATGCACAGCTGTCTTGGCATTAGTGCTTGGTTAAAGCCTTGAAGTGCATTATCAGCTTTCATGCATACATTAAACTCCAAAATAGCAGGTTTCGTCAGTTTTTTTGTGAATTCTGTGTTATATATAGATTTTGTTCAATTTACGTAAAAGACAGACAAAAAACATTCATGCTAAAATACTTCACAATTTTATAAATGAAATGTTATTTTTATTATTGCAATGTAAAATAAATCACTATAAAAGCAGTGAGTAAATTCAATGGCCACAGTTGCCTTTTTAGTCTATTTCTGCTTATTGTTTTGGCTTTTTAACCTGATTATCTTTGCAGTTTAATTCGTCTCTCTTTGCCCTCTTCAGGACAAGCTGGTGATACAGCTGTTGTTGAAGAGTTTACCAGATTAATACAGATGTAAAGGTGACTCTGGGCATACATGTGGTTTCACGTGAGAGCCTGAATTAAAATGACAAACAAAAGCGAAAGTTCACTACGAAAAGCAGTCAGTAAAATGATCATAACCCATTCAAAAACAGAAGACTCTCACCGGTACCCTGGCAACACAGGAAGGAAGTTGCACACAGCATTTCGTCTCAGTCCCCCATTACAAAAACGAAAAAACAAAAAAAAACAACAACTAGCATCTCCAGTACGCTACATCCTGGGTTCATTGGTAATGACGCCATAGGATGCTGTGATTGTAATTGTGAGAATTTTTTGAGAAATGTGATAAGCATCAAATTGTCCAACCAAACCTGTCAACTTTGATGGTTTTACTGAGCTGAAACCATTAATCAGAATCAGAATCAGAAAATCCTAAAAGGAAATTATTTAACAGCAAAGATGAAGATACAAGCTACATGTAGTATTTTGATTAAATGAAACAGTTCATTCAAGTGAGGTTCTCATCTCTTTCTATGTAATGAGGCATTAAGAGAAAGGAAAACTGCATAATAACTGCATAATACATGCACATTTAGGTGTTTTGTAAACATTAGGATGCTAAGACAAGACTTGAAAATATGCTGAATAGAATTCAAAGAGTTTGAAAGCATGCAGGGGTGTCCACTGTTGAAGTGAGACTGCAAAGTATTCTGAATATGATGAAGATAACTGGAGAAATATGCAATTTTCATGTGTCACTATACATCGTGATGGCGAGTCATGAAGTCAGCTCGGCAGCCAATGGCTAACGCAGAGCTCAGGAAATGACACGGTGGCTTTCCCAGAGTAGTTTTAATCTTTTATCATATGCGGTCGTAGTAAAAGTGTGAGATCACGACGTTTTCGTCTGAATTTAATCTCTCCCATGACCTCAAAATGTAGAAAAAGCTGACCCTACATAAAAACTGTATCCATCCATTTTCTATACCGCTTATGCCCAACAGGACGGTCAGGGGGCTGGAGCCTATCCCAGTAATATATATATAACTGGGATTTATATATATGTATATATATATATATATATAATACTACCTCCTAGAGTAAAAAGACTATAAGAGACTTTTCTTTTTTACTTCTTTGCACAATCTAAAGAAAAATGAAACGGCAAAAAGCATTGATGGTTTGGCCATCAAGTACAAGACGTTAGTTAGGCTATATGATTCGTTGGATTTCTCAACTTCAAAATTGAAACAGAAAGCCAAGAATGCTGTTGTGATACATTTGGAGAAAAACACCACATGCTTCGCTAAAATTAGCCAACAGTTACAATTGTAGTCACATATCATTTGTTATGCAATAGGTGATTTTTTTCAATTTGATCTCATCATGCGGAGAAACTTGACATTTTACAGGAATAGATAGAAATTAGTATGGTTAAATATGAGTCAATATATTATGAATATATTGACTTGTCATGCTCTAATGGGGAGATACTAAAAGGGATTTTTCTGCCATGACAAGAAAAAATGTAGGCTGTATCTAAAATTAAGAATTAAGAATGTTAACAATCTTTTTTTTTGTTATTGTCGTTGCTGTGTGTATGCTTTACATTCAGCGAGACTTTAACATAAAACGTAAGTTAGAGAATACTTGCAGGAAATTAACGTTTGGGTATGCCTAAGTTTAAGTTTGGCAAAGCTCCAAAACTTGAATTTGCTTGGTCTTGCTTTGGCAAATTTGAATTTTGAGAGTCTGACTCAAACCTGAGATTTGTTGACTTTATGGATCCCTTTCTTTTGTTTGGATTTATACTCAAAACTCACCTGCCTGATGGTAACGGGGGTCTCCTGATCAACTGGAGTGCTGCTAGTCTTGTGATCAGTCAGTGATCGAGTTCAAATATACATTTGAGTCAAACTATAGTCATAGGTCCCAGGTTAATAGAATTACTCTTTCTTCTTCTCTCATCTTTCACTACATCCAGTTCACATCTGACCAATATAAGGCTGGCCATACACCATGTCTCGCTTACGCAACAGTTTCAAATGCCACAGCTTGGCCGTTATCGTTTAAATGTACTTATATGAACATACATTATATGTTCCAAAAGGGTTTTCCATTTTGACCCTGTCACCACGTCCAATTCCAGCTTGACTACGCGTAAACCTGCAGGAGTTTATTTCCCAACCAATTCAGTGTGTGTCAGTTTGACTGAGAGAAATGTGATTTAATTCAATAAAGTACACAAATAAGGAGATGATGATGATCATAAGTAAGAGAACAAATAATCCTCTTTTGGGTTTGTCATAGACCTGAAGGAACCTCTGGCTGAAGACCCTCTTTGGTTTAATAGCCGTTACTATGAATGAAACATGGCCGACTGTTTATGACACATTTGTTTGGACAAAGTGGGAAACTACCTTAAGGCAGGGAACAGGTATTTAAGTTTTTTTCCCCAGTACAGTCTATACGAAGAGTGCTTAAGGATATCAAAGCAAGTTTTTTTTCTTGTCTGACTTAATGGAAATGAAGAATTTCTCGCCCAACCCCAAAATCATGCGAACCATCAGTTTGGTTTGGTGTTACTTCAACTGAAAGTGCAAAATCATGTGGCTTTGTCTGGTCGGTGCTTAGTCACAGACAGGAAGACACCCTGGTTCACAGGGATTGAACGACTCATTATCTCCATAAAGGAAACAATTCAACACTTGTCCTCCTCCCTGACTTATTGATTCATACACTACATCATTTAGCCAAAACATGTTGTTCTCCTCAAACTTCTGGCAAAGTAGAAATATTATTCACCAACCCTCTGACGTATCAACCCGTTTCGAGTTTCCAGGAGTCCTTTATTGTGCAATGGTTGATTTTATTCAAATATAGGTCAAGGTTCATCGTCAGAAACTTTGAATTAGTGAAACAACAACTCCAACTGGTTTCTGCTCGGGCCGAAATCCTTCAGACGTCTTTCATTTCTGTTTATCCCCACAACACTCACAGACCGCTTTCATTGGGATTCATAATACTGAGAATGATATTAGTATTTTAGTCACTGTAAAACTGAATGGTCATGATGACCGTGTACTTTTTCTTACTGATGTATATGTTATTTTTTATAATATCACTTCCGGTACTGACTTTGATAGGTCAAGTTTTTGACACACTGTCTTAGAAATTAGAAATTCTTTTGCTGTGAAGCTGACATTCGTTGTAGTAAAAACGGCAACCCTGAAAAAGGGTTTGTTTGAGACACGAAATTTGAATTTTTCAAAATGTTGGCATGCATTTTGTGCAGAAAGCAGTTCTCACTTGAAATGCAATGAAAACCTCAAAGGAAGGATAAATTACAGTAGAAAAAGACTACATTTTACCAGCTGTTTATTTGAAATGTGTTGCTAGCAGATTCTGGATGATTTCAGTCTCTAAACACAGTGCTGTTGGTCTGGAAAGATAGAGTAAATAACAGCCTTTAAACTTAAAGAAAGTACATTTATGAAAATATTCCTTATTCTGCATCTAAATTTTGCTTAATGTCAAGTTTTCAGACATCACAGTAGCAACATTTTAAATAATCTTTACAGGGTTTTTTTGGAGTTTAAGGGAAAATATAGAGCCTCTTGAACATTATTCCACATTTGTGATGCACGTTTCATAAATGGTCAATATATGAATGGACAAAATACTACTTATACCTTTTATGTGGACAAATTGGTTGTTTTCACTGCAAAACCTTGATAGGTAGCTCTGCTCATTCAAATATAATGCAGAAGTCATGATATTTCTTTTTTTTATTAAGTGATTATCACGTAGAAAAAACAATTGGCATGTCTTACAAAATGGTCATCAAAACTTAAGCATTAATTTATCCCCCAAAAAGTCTCTGTAAAGCAACAAGTAGAAAAACAGATGGTTAAACTCAGGGCGACAAAAGCTGCCTGACGAAAGCCAGAGTTTGTCCCAACCGACATCTGAATCCGTAAACCCTTTGTTAAAATTGCTATGAGAACATCTAATAACACACGGACAACTAGTATGACATAGTCATTACAAAGGGAAGGCACATTTGTGCTTCCCCCTCACTTCCTCAATGGAAATTTCTGTACCTTGCCAGTTCTTGAGTGTTTCAGCATGGCGTTGCTTTTACTCTCATCTGTGGCTAACATGTATGTACAGAGTACACGCAACAAACGCTTAGGTTAGAAAAACAACGACAAAAACAGCAACGTGAGTTGACTTGTTCGAAGAACATCCAAAGAAACGAAAAGGAAAACGGTGACGTTCGACAAGTGCTTCTGCTATACATTAAAAACAAACCTTTAAACCCCCTGCTTACTGAAGATCAAACCCCCAGCATGAGCCACCATTTCTAACATATTATACGACAGTGAATCCAGCGTTGTTGGAGAAACAAAGAAAAGGTACATTCGATTCCGCAAAGACTTCCTTGGAAGCCGTTGGCTTGCAGTTTGATCCGTGACGAACCTAAAGCGCGGTTCGTCCGGTTAGACGTTCCACGCTGAAACCCGTGGAGCCTACGTGACGCCCGTGGCACAAATAAACCAGTCGCATCGGCATCAGCGGCCGGGAGCCGACCCAGCTGGTGGATTACAGCACTTTAAAATACTGCAACAATTAATCAATCATGAAACATCCCATTCCTCGTACAAACAAGAAACGAGACAAGTCTCTGGAATGGATAATTCTCTTTACCGTAAATTATATTTCACGTGACAATAATTGGGAAAAATATAACGTTTTTCCTGATGAAAAGTTGGAGCAATGACCAAAGAAAAAACGGGCATGTGCCTTGTTGGGCATAACAGGAAGTGATGAGTCGGTGTGCTGACATCCAGTTTGCCTATAGGCCCCACTTGCTGCCAATCACTTTTGGTCATGTGACCACTCCTGTAACAACCCAAGCAAATCCCCGCCAAGCCTTGATGGAGAGGCAGAAATTCTGGCTTTGCAAGGCTAAACAGGCTCCGTGGAGCAACCTCTGTTTATGTCTCGGTACCAATGACGGCCCTTTTAGTTGCCCTTAGAGGCTTTCACCCAGTCGATCAAGTCGGAATAGTGGCCGTCTAACTGAGCGCTGCTGTTTGCGAAAGAATTCTGCATATTTGTCAGCGGCTGCTGAAAGCCTCTGCCGTCTTGCCTCCTCAGGTCGAAGCTGGTGCCGTTGTTGATTGGCCGAGGGAGCAGGTTGATGTAGGTGTTTCCTTGGCTCTCTCTGTGGGGCTGCATTAGGGAAGTGCTGGCGTCCTGGCCGACCGTACTCTGTGGCTCCTGTTTCAGATGGAAGCCGGAGTGAGACATCCCTCCGCCCAGGCCCTTCAGATAATCGTCAGTTTCTATCCCCTCGAGGAAAGGGAACGACCCCATCTCTGGCGGCCCCCCTCCGCCTCCGGGCACGGATTCGCTAAAGCTGTTCTGGACCGTGCCGAGGGGGTTGAAGCCGGACCACATAGTCTGGAGACCCTGGCTCTGGGCGCCCATTTGGCCGTGGCTCGGGTTCTCCTGGGCCGCGTCCTGTCGGTGGTGCTGCTGGTGGAAGAGCGCGTGGGGCTCGGGCTGGGGCTGGGAGACGGCGTCCAGGCACTGCAGATCCCCCATGGAGAGCTGCGGGAGGGCGCTGCCCTCGCAGCCGCCCGGCTCCAGCCTGTGGGGGAAGCCCACTCGGCTGGACTGCTGCTGCTGCTGCTGCCTGCCGCCGTTGGGACGGTTGCCCATGGGTCCGGGTGAGTTTACGGTGACTGTGTCCACGGACGGCGCGTTCCCCCACGGATGAGCCATTTGTAAGTTGGGAGTCTGTGATGTCATCATGACGGTCTGAGGGCCCGGCTGGCAGAGCGGGTTGAACCCGGTGGACTGCTGCTGCACGGTAGCGGCGCTCTGCTTCATGAACAAGTTTCCTGTGTCTGGGCGAGAGAGGGACGTTTAGTATTTGAGGAATTCAGCATTATCAAGTCCATAGATGTCAACGTTTTAAACTTGGGAGGAAATATAGTCACCTTTCCGCATATGAGTCATACTACTGTGGGCCACCGCCTTTGGCCTGTTCATTGCTAAACCAGCAAATGGGCCGTCTAAAGGGCAGAAAATATGGTTAGAATAGATGCGCTTGAAGTAGATTTACAGCAGATGGTGTAGATTGCATCTATTCCACGTGTCTTACTTGTCAGTCCTGCGATCTTCATCAAATACTCTCGCTCTCGTTTGCGTCTTTTCTCATTGTAGCCGTAGGGATCTGTAAAAGAGGACAGACTCGTCTCATGTATTGTCCAACTGTCCAACTGACCACTGCAGGCTGATGGGGGGGTTATGAGGGTTCACCTTTGTCGTCAGGCAGGTATCGGAAATCCATGGGTTCGCTGACCTCCTGGTCAGAGGGCCGACGCAGCTGCATCTGCACGGTGACCGACTCGGCGATGGCGGTGTTGTAGTACGGCGGGGTCTTGAACACGATGGCCACCTGCCGGTGGACGTCGGCCTGCGAAAAGGAGCCTTTGGCCTCCCAGCCGTCGGAAGAGAAGAAACGCACCTCAATGTCATCTGTGGAGGAGAGGGGGTGGTGGTGGGACAGATGTAGAAATCTGAGTCAACATGCTAGGTGACTACGAAAAGATCGATGGAACAATGAATTTGAAAGAGCAAAAAATGGAGACAAGAGGGATACAAAATAAGTGAAAAACAACCTTCAAAATTTTGGAAAATATGTAAGAAAGTTAAAGGCCTACTCAAAGTGGGTACCTTTTTGTACTTTGTCGCACAGCAAGAAGATCTCATCCCCTCCTTTAACACTCCCACTGTTCTTGTTGACTCGACAAATCCTCAGTTCTGCTGTGTTTGGGGCCCCTGATGATTTACAGATAAATGTTAGCACGTACGTCAGAAAGCTTTACTTTTACTTGATCATAATGTTGAGATTCTGTGCAGAAAAAGGTAGAATCTTGTAGTGTGTAGAAGCCGCAGCTTTGAGCAGAGAGCGACATAGCTAATTTAGAGTTGAGGTCTCCACGGGGTTGAGTCATATGTCACATGCTAGCTGTCGGAAGAGGAAGTGTTCCATGGCAACATGGTAGTTTGAGGGTTGGTGCATACACAGAACTTCCCCTTTTTGCATGTGAAACAGCTTTGAGAGAATATCTACTGGACACACGTTCGTCTTGCAACAAATATCGATGCGGCTTCTGGTACTGATTGTGCTAGCGCAGCCAAATATGCAACTTCTCATTTCTTGCAACATTATTATCACCACCACTCAAGCCTGAGTTTAAATGGGGGTAAAAAACCAAAAAAAACCCAATCAACATTAGTTTGAAAATTGCACCTCTGAAGACACTACTATCCCTCCGAAACCCTCCGAAATGAGAAATTATGGAAAATTAGACGACTAATATAGCGATTTTGACGTTTTCACAACATCTGACTCACTGTTGTCGTAGATGGGGTTCGTGACGATGGGTTTGAGCGCCCGCGTGTAGTGGCCGGCCTTGTCCTGGAGGAACACCTGGATGCACAGGCGCACCACGTTCAGGTCATACTCCTCCGTCTGCAGCAGCTGCTCCTGAGGCACTGATGGAACACACACACACACAGACACAGACACACACCGCTCAGTTAAAATACTGCAACTACTGACAGGTTCTACCCACTGAAACAGTGTCCCGGACCAACGATACATAACCCTCTGTCTCCATAGGGTATTTTCGAGTATTACTTTCCCTTTAAACAGCCTCTGATTACCATAATTGCTGATAAAGTAACTGATGTGGAAGTCACATAAACCAGTTTTACATGAAAATCCTCTATAGGGGAGGCCAATTTCCAACCTATAGTTCTGGCCTGGATGAGTAGCCAGTATTTTCACAGGACTCCTTTTTAAAGTTATGCCACTTTCATTTTCAACCATGAAAAAAAAAACGACACAAACAGACATTTTCTAGATCGCATCCGCAAGACTGTGGTGAAATGACACTCGCCTGAAGCCAGGAGAGAAATGAGAGGGAAGCAAACTCATCACGCACGGGTACATAAGAGCCCCCCAAAAAGGGACAAATGAGGGGGGGGGGGCTGTAATAAACATGTGCCCCGCCCCCTTTTTTTTTTTTTTTTTTCTAACTTCCTCGGGCCTATATTATCAGCGACACACACACACGCACGCTCATCTACATGTGAACTTCACACATTCTGCCTCCGCAATCAACATGCAAACACGCACGGCCCGCCGCCGAGAGACGCCCCCGCGGGCGCGCAGACGGCGGGCTTTCACATCTGCCCACTCGCTCGCTCTCCGTGCTCAGGAGGCCACCCTCGCCCACGGCCTGTTGCTAAGGTGACGTCACCCCGGCGCAGAGAGAGGTTGCCTGTGTGACACACGGATGGCAAAATCGTGAGGCGTCCTACGTGAGTGACCCAAGCGGCTGCTGACGTGTGTGAAAGTGGTGGGACACCAAACGACGACAAAATTTGCTGAATTAAAAAATAATTTACAAAAAGTTTTTTCCAACCATTATAAAACAAAACCACTGACTGTGCAATGTTAAAACACGACAGGGTACTGACATGTGACTCTGCCTTTCGGTATGGTAATAATAACCTAAAAAAAGAGTAGAAAAGTAGTGAAAGAAGACAAGAAAAGGATAACTGGTTTCTATATGCAATGCTGAAACTGGCTGTTGCTGTTTCAAAAGACCCACCGCCTATTTTTATCTCTTTAGCTGCTGGGCCCGGCCTTACAGCTGTCGAACGCAGCCGAGAAAATGAGGAAGTCAAACGCTTCCCCCCTAACAGCTCCGCTGGCTTTTTTTAAGCAAAACAATGCGCGTCCTGCAAACAGTAAACTTTCTGATTCTGTTTTGGTTCATGCTTTATTGAAAAATTATGCTATTAAAAAGCAGATGAAGCCAAAAAAGTTGGATTTTGAAATACGTTTTAATGATTGTATTTATTGGCCTAAAATGGGCCATCTTATATGTATCTTTATATATATATGTATACACACACATATACATATAGGCCAAACAGATATGTCAAACAATGATGTACGTTAATTGGCCTGACAAAACACCACACACACATGCATGCACGCAGACACACACACACACAGCCACAGACACACAGAGTGGAGAAACCGAAGGAGGAAGGAATGAATGGAAGATGGAACCATCAGAGCACATATCGGTGGAACATGCTGCCTTGATCTGCACGTTTGTGAGAGTGTTGGTGGAGCGAGCTGGTGACCGAGGACGGACAGGTGCAGGAAGGTGGGTTTCGGGGGGGTTGTAGGTGTCGGCGGTGGCGAGTGCGTGTACGTTTGTGTGGTGGAAAGGAAACAGAGAACACACAAAAAAAAATGAAAAGTGACAGCAGAGGTACAGGGAGCGATGGGCTGCACGAAGCTCGTGCTAAGGGGGACACGTTGTTTGGCGAAAGGGGGGCAACGGTGAAGGGGAGGGTGTTGAGTGGGGTGCAGGGTGTGAGAGTGAAAAAGAAGAGGCAGGTGCCAAGCCTCACCACAAAAAGTGTCTCCACTGCATGACTCACAGTTAAACAACTCTTTGAGAAGACATTGGGTTTATGTGACCTGTGTTGAGGCAATCATTACAGAGTTATATAACTTCACATCATATATTTCATCCAATTTATTACCAATAACAATCCAAGTCTTTAAGGCCCTAAATTTGGTGTAAATTGGAATTAATACCACAGTACCAAATAGCTTTGAGGGTCACAGTGGTTAGATTTAATTTGATTAACTGTTAATCTAGCATATTAAACCTCCTTTTAAGCAAAACAGAAGAAAAGTGGGGGCAGTAAAGGGTATTTTGCAAAGTAATGACAGGCCCCAGTGGATAATTCTTTTGTAAGTCCTGTAACTTCACCTCAGTTTCTTTCTTTTTTTTAATCCAATATTCCAGCACTAGTGATAACTAATCACATTTGATCGAAAAAGACAAGAAAAAGACAAGTACTGCAAGGTCAGATATTTAACGAGGAGATTTGAAATGATCATTTTTGACTTGTTACACGAACTGTTACATCCCAAGTCAATAAAAAAGAGAAAGTCATCTTCAGACCCACTTGATCTGCTTTGATGGGGGTCAGAAGCACATTTGTAACTTTAAAATAGCAAACTGCTGTAATTTAAATGCATTGTCTTAAGTACATGAGACGGACAGCCACTCAGTAATGGATGGTAAAAAAAGAAAGAAAGCAGCACTACAGCTTTCAGTTTGGACTTCTAAAAGTTTAAGTCTGTAAAGTGAGCTAATTTCTCTTTGTGAGAACTGCGGAAATAATTACTTGTGCGTCCAAATAATACCAAACTGCAGGTACGATCATATCAAAATATTCCTAAATCTTGCGGACAAGGCTCAGGTGAGCCTTCTTCTAACCGGCTGTAAGCTCGTCCATCAGCCTTCACACACGTAGACCCGTGTGGGACGAGGTGAGGTCATCCCATTTGGGTTTGTTTGTTGTCGTGTTAATAAGTGGAGCATTGAGAGTGTTGGGTGTGAGTCATAGGGACTGCCTGATCCCCCTCTCGACACAGGAAGCAGCTGAGTTTCAGAGCAGATGCTAATTGTAGCAAAGAGGACTGACATCAAGCTGCCTGATCGCTGGCCCGAGACCAAATTATTAATACGATTATTTGAGATTCACGAGTGTGAATCTGTCTGAGGAAGTGTCAAATAATCAGCTGCAACCTAACTGTAATGCAAAGGTGAACAGTTTTGTGTCATCTGAGAGAGAAATCTTTCCTTTGAGGCTGTTGTTATTGATCGGGTATGACGGTGAGCTTGGATTTGGCCAAAGGCGCCGAAAGTGAGAGTATATTTGGGACTCGAGACTCATGTGCGTCATTTCGGAACATGCTCGTCTCGTCAATCTTTTAGACTCTAATCTGTATGACGACTTTTACATCCACAGAAAACAGTGAATTAGCGGAAAGGGAGTGAACCAGAAGAATGTAAGGAGTGTGCCGCTTATTTTGGACTCTAAATATATCTCAGAAACATACTTAATTCCAACAGGCATTTATCTCTACTTGCCAACAAATAGTAAATCAAATCAAATTTGTAATACAAAACAAAACAACAACATATCTTAAGTTTGTTTCATACGCTTGGGAGATCATCACAAAACCTTGAAGGCACGTACGTGTAAATCAGACTGGATCGTAAACCTTTCATTCCAGACAGTTTTTTACAAACCTGTAAAGCTCCCTATCCTACTTTTATCATCATATCTGAGAGCTGGGGAACCCCCCTCGGTTTTAACCCTCCCCCTTTTAATGAATCCTGCATTCCCATCTCTCACGTGGCCTCCTGCGCTGCGCTGAATTGAGCAACTGTGACCAAGAATGGGGAAGTAGCTCAACGCCTGTTTGTACACGAGAACTGCTGTGTGTCTGCTCCGCGGGACCGGGTGAGAGCGCATAAAGGAAACGGCCATACTGTAAATAGTGCAGCGACGAGAGAGAGCGGATTTTCGAGTCGATGTAAGGAAAATCTGCTCTGCTGCCTGAGAACTGGGTCAACCCCAACCAACGCTTGAAAACAATTCTGGTGAATTGTTTTGAACGTCTTTAACAGGAAAAACAGCAGGAAAGGCAGCGGCTGTGGTTACAACAGCTTCAGGATTAAGTAGTAAAAAGAATTTCAACTCAATTAAGTTTTGTGCCAATAATATGGTAGTAAGGAGATACTGACTTGTAAGATGTATTTTTATAAAGATATCAACAGAAAGACTGCTATACAAAGCAGTTCTGTTATGTTTCCGTTATGTTTTTGCTTTTAATTGCTATGAACCAAGTATTTAAATAGAAAATAGCATGCATTTATCCAAAGTGTGTGACACCACAAGGATGTTAACCTTTTTCTCGCACATAAACATGCACACAAATACATGCCACACATCCTAGCCCATAACAATGCAACACTGTATAAATGCAAAGCTGAGCTAAACTCTTTTAGCTAAAATTAGCTACCAGACTCCGAGACCACGTTACAAAAAATAGAAAGGCAGGAACGGTTCATGCGTTCCTGTTAACTTTGTTGCCAATGAAGTAACTATTGCCAACCTTTTAATTTTAGTGAAAGTAACGGAAAGAAACAGTCTTGTTAATGCTTTGAAAGAAGGCGTGCATATTGTGGCTGCTCCCCAGTGGACATAGCTTAGTCCACCAGTTGAGTGTCGCTTCTGGCCCCAGAAACCAACAATGGCGACGGCCAAATGCTGGACACCAGGTTTCAAAATGGCTATTCAAATCTATTAAAATCGTCAATTTCCTAAAAAAGTCGTAGTACAACAGGTTTTAGGACAAGGATAGGACAAGGACAAGGATAGGACAGAAGTTTTTACTATTCAGCTCTCAAAAGTGAGCTTGAACAATAGATGGTGTTTTTTTTTCTTGTACTTCTTCAGATCAAGATTAATCTGCGGCTCAAAGAAATACATTTTTTTTGCTTAATCCAGCAGGATCCGACTGTTTCATTTATATATTTGCAGAAAACTGACACATTTTTTGTTTGTGCTTCGGTCAGTTTCAGTCTTTTGTTGCTTGTTTAAATGATGTATAACGGTTCTTAAGTGAACATGGCAAATAATGGAGGGAAGACTCACCATTGAAAGGGTTGATCCTTCTTGTTATCCTCTGCAGAATTGCTTCTTTCACTTCCCTCCTTCGCACGCACTGGATACCCAGATTCTGGAAACTGTGACAGTGAGAACACAAAAACAACATGAGCAAAAGTGACAAGGCTGCCACAACCCGTTCAAAACAAGCAAAACAAACAATACACCAGCTTGCAGATAAAAAGATCTAGAAGAAATGTAGAAATGCAGATTTCTGGTTATATGTATCCCAAATGGGTGTGAGTGCGTTTTTAATTGCACACACGTCCTGAGCTTTGAAAGGATTCTGAATTCAATACACGAGCCTGAGTAGGTGAGGGATCTGCCAACTGAGAACACCAAAAGAAACTTACTCATTCACACTCTCACATGTCCTCAGAGCTCTCACTGAAATGTTGTTTTCTCTGTCTAACATACAGCAAATATGCAATGATGTCACTCGGGGAATTCCCATGTTGCCATCCTCCTCGCAGTCATTGCTGCAGAGTGCGTTTGGACAGAGGAGACAGTGAGAGGAGGAGGACTCACGCGATCACTCTGCGGTCTGGACCAAACTCCGCCTCGTAGTAGCCATCCCTGCAGTCCTTCCCCACCAGGTCGTGCGGATGCGGCTTGTACGGCTCGTTCTTTGTCACCAAGTAGACGCGCACTTTCCCCTTACCGCAGTAGTTCAGGATCTGTCAAATATAAAAAGGTACGGGGGGGGTTTGCAAAGTTTCGAAGAGGACCCCGTGAAATCCATAAAACTGAAAATGGCTCCGTGGATCTCCGTCCGACTGACCTGCAGACTCGGGTACGTCCTGTTGTTGTCCGAGCTCTTCTCGCCGGGGATGCTCCCGGCGGAGCGCCCCTCGCACTTGTACCTGAAGCGCATCCCTCTCTGCTTGGGTTGCTCAAAGATCTGGACGGCTGGCTCAGCCACTGGGGAAGGGGGTGGAGGGTGGGGGCAAAAATAGTGGGATGCGGTCAATGGACAGATTTGGTGAGGGAGGTACAAAGGGATGGAAAATCTGGGTAAGACAGAAGTCCCAGTGGTTTTTTTAATGTTTAGTTACTCTGGGTTTGCTTTTAGGGGAAAAGACTAATTAAAGAGTAACTTTATTAAGTAAGGCTGCTGATTTAGAATAGAATCAAATCTCTATGGTTATTGCATAGTAGTACAGAATACATCAGCACTACATCCAAAAGCCAATGCACGTTTTGGATGATCAATTATCCAGAATTCATCCCTTTTTCTTTCCAGTTCTGGATGTGAAGATTTGTTACTATACTTTCAGTTTTGCTATTATGATGTGTCTGATTTGAGCCAATTAAAGTCTATAAAATGTCAAAACAGACCTGAAATTGTTCGAATTTTGAACTCTGGTTTCTCCATTTGACACCAAGTTTAAGTAAGGGTGATGTCAACATCTTAAAGAAAACTGAAGGACCTAGCTTATTCAACAGTAAATGGAGGGATTACAAACAAGGAAAATGTTGGTCTACATTCAAAAGAAAGCATGAAATTAGTTTACCAGCCCTACTCTGACCTTCTTGCATGAAACAAAACTGGTCGCGCATGACGCTTGTGTCAGAGAGAGGAACTAAAACTGAGCTGAGAGGCATTTCTGTTTTTGGTGTTTAAAAACAACAATGCAAAAATATAGTCTGTCCAAAAATATAGCCGAATGATGACCATTCTCCAATCGGAGTGCAGCAGATGCTGTGTAAGCCTTTATGAAACAAAGCGAATTAACGTTTCTGACATATATAGTGATGTCTGCCAAAAGGAAAGTGGTCCGACCATGTTCTGCCTTCCTTTTTCTGCAGACACTGCAGCAATATACACTTTAAATGTACAATCCTGGCTCACGCTCATGACCCACTGTGTCAACACACGCTGGCCATAAATGTGTGAGACACTGTGATTGTCATAAATGCTCAAATACAAAAAAGAGGAAGTGAAATGACATGGCGTATATCAATTTAATTTGAATTCTTATCTCATTTCTGATTTTTTTTGTTAGTTGCAACAGGAGAAAAACAGGCAACACATTTCAAGGTGAGGGGAATTGTTGTGGACTTACTTATGTGTGGATCATCCAGCATGGAAGGCATAAGAACTGAGGTGGGAAATGTGAGAGTTAGAAGCAAAAAAAGGCAAATTACACCCAAAACTTAGAGGCACAGATATCGTAGCAAAGTAGAATTTCAATAAAAAACTAATCTGCAGAAATTATTAATCTTTTTCTATTTTTTATTTTACATTAAAAAACAAAACAAACAAAGGTGTTGAACCAGTAAAGCTCCAACATTGCAATAAGGAGGAAGTTCAGTGTTGGTAAATAAAAACGATATGTTGTCGAAAAGCTGTTTAGTATGCGTCATACTTTGAAACAACTGTATATTTGAAAATAACACACACACACACATATATATATATATATATATATATATATATGGTTATATATATATATATATGTATATTTGTGTATATGCACATATGTGTTTGTGTGTCTTCGTTTTCTTGAGCTACTGTCGGACGGACCAACAGAGAATTATCTCCTACTTTACCTCTCATTCTGAAAGTTTTCGTCGTTGTCATGTAATTATAATTAAATATGTATACACTCACCGTCCATGGTGCATACGTTCGTCCCTCGCAGCGGCGTCGTCGGTCGTCCCTCGGAAATCTCGGACTGAATGAGTGACAGTGTGCCTGAAAAGTGTGTTTGTCAAGAGGCTGGCGGGGGAATTCCCTCTATAAAAGTAAACGGACCAATGAGCGGCGAGGGGGGCGGGGCGAGTAGGACCCGCCTTTTGCGACGCGGAAAGGCAACGGGCCACTTAAGCGCCTAAAAAAATAAATAATTAAAAAATATAATAATATCAATGGCAGCTTGTTTTACACACTATCATATGTATAGTGTTGGGGGGGGAAAACTTACACACTCACAAATAAACTTACTTTGGTAAGATAAGTGTGTTACAAGACTAGTCAATACCAAGCAAAGTTTAGCTGACAAGCCACCAGTATCCAGTGTCCAAAGTAACCCCCCCCATTTAAACAGCTGTAAATGTGTTAGCTGATATTGGCTTCTCCGAAAAAGGTTGCTATTGGTCATGTTCTCAAAGACACACAAACTCATTTCGAAGTAGCTACCCTGTGCTTAGTTATACATTTCCATGACCCTGAATTATGAATCAAGGACCCACCCTGTCGATATGTCCAAATTTATGGTTACTGAGCATCTTCGTTGACGACTGACAATAACACCTTCTTGACATTTGTTTTGAAGTCACATGCAGCTTAGAATTGATTTGAGGGCCTCCTTGGAACTGAATTCAGCTTACAGAAACATTCAACAGGTATAATTAGACGTTTTCTTTTTTTAATAACTGCCGGGAACTTGCATGTACATGCAACCTTTAAGCACTGAGGATGATGTAATTCTTTTCCCAAGAAAGCCAAAATTTAAATAAACCCCCTCATGCCAGTGAAAGGGACAGCAGAAACTAAGCATCAGTTAATCTACAAATAACGCAATGGCGCAAAGAACAAAACGACTCATGCACGCCTTAGTTTTTAGGGGTTTAATGGGTGTACAGATTCATTTAAAGGAAGTGATAAACACATACAAAAATACCTTTCAATACATTTTAGAAACAAACATCTAAATGACCTGTTTTGTTAAATGTTTCTGAACAGCAGAAGGAGTTGTCGGAAACCAGAGTGGTGCAGATATCATTCATAAAGACCTGCCTGCTATGAATGCTATTTTTAAAAAAAAGAAGAAAAAAAAGAAAAGGGAAAAAAAAGCTCACATGGTACAAATATGCAAATATAAATAAAGTGATAAGAAACCCCCAATAATGAAGTATACGCATTTTTTTGGAAAGAAAAAAAAAATCACCCACTGTACATTTCATTTGAGGATACTGTGGGACAAAAGAAAGAAGAAAAAAAAAAAAAAAGAGCGGCTTGTGTCCCAACTCTCCATCTGCTCCAATGAAGAGGGTCCACTCCTCACTTTACACACTGCTGTACACACAGAGCCTCTGTGCCGAGAAAAAAAAAAAAAGGCAGACACCCAGCTTCAACATGGAGAATTGGGGCCCCTAAGCCAAAAAGGAAGTCATCTCCTAACCCTCGAACACAACCACCACCGCCGCCCACAGCTGATGGACCCAGGAGATGCCTGTTAAGAACCTCCACAGGAGGCGCACAGGGTTTACCCCCCCCCAAAAAAAGGGAATTCTCTCTCACAGACGCGGGACGCTGCCACCAACCAACGCTCCTCCACATCCGACCGGACACGCACGACTTCCTCCGAAAGGCCTCAAAACCATTTTTCTTTCTCTCCTCTTCCACAGAATGCCATGATCTTCCCCACGGACGTGAATTTGTGCTCACAATCAGAAGCAGGTGAATGGGTGAGGGTGGATGAGTGAATGAGTGTGTGTGTGTGTGTGTGTGTGTGTGTGTGTGTGTGTGTGTGTGGAGGTAGGGAATCGATCTGCGTCCGGAATTATTATCCCCCCATCACAAGTGTGATATTTTTTTTGGGACAAACTAGAGGTTAATGACAGGTACGGATACAAAACTGGTTTTAAAAGCGCCCTATCCCCCCCCCATCCCACCCCGTTTTTAAGTGTTTGTTGGAGCGTCGGAATTGTTCAGTGCTCAATTTTGTTAACGTCATCTCACACGCCAGGATGAGGGCAAGTAGAAAACCCACCTCCCAAGAGGCGGAACACAGATGGCTGCAAAAAAAAAAAAAAATGCAGAGGTATTCGCGGACGTAGAATCCTAGTACAGTTCTGGTGTTTGTCGCTAATCCCACCGAGTACTAAACAACAACAAAAAAAAGAGCTTATCCTAGAATATGCACAACTGTCTTTTTTGTTTGTTGTCACTCTTACTGGCCACCTGAACTAAAGAGCTCAGACCCTACTAGCCACCGACACAAAACAAGTCCGCTACCAACCTGGAGTCCCACTTTGGGCAGTTAAAGCAGGTCCAAAGAGTTGTGGGGTTAGGTTTTCCGTCACATCCAAGCAAAACCCTCCATAAATGCTCTGCAACTGTATTCAAAGTCGTAAATGTCTTTAAAAAAAAAAAAAAAAACAAGAAAAAAAAATCTTGGGCTGGAGACTTTTTGACAAGCAGTAGAGAAAGAAAAGAGACAGACAAAAAACAAAAATACAAAAAACAAAAATTTTTTAAACATTTTTTTCCTTTTTAGATAAAACTACAATAGAATGATCAAAAGACTTAACAGTAATCTTTTGCGTTTTTTTTTTTTCCTTTTAAGACAAAAAGTTATGTACATCAACATTTACTGTACAGGTCTCTGTTGGGGAAGAGGGGTTGAAGAGAGGACAAGGGGGTAGTAAAGGGAGGAAGGAAATCTCCTTAATCCAGACGCGCGTCTAGCAAGCATCAATAATATCTGTTCTGGACTTTTGTTTGTCTTTCCTTTTTCTTAAAACATGGTAAGTAGACAAAGGAAAAGAAGAAGAGAAGCTTGTTGTCCCTGCGTACAAACAAAAGAGGCAGAGGAGGAGTTATAAAAAAAAAAAAAAAAAAAGGAGGAGGGAAAAAGAAAAGCGTGTGATTTAGCTTTCATGACATGTCTCTGACTCTGGGTTGAACGCCGCCTGGCTTTGGGTGGGACGGCGTTTTTCTGAAGCCATTATCCGTCTGTAGCCTGTGAAAGATGTGAGGAGAGGCTCCTCTGTCCTGCTGCTTCGCGCGTCTGACCGACCGACTGACCGGCCCCGAACGCGCTCGGTGCCCCCGGGGGTACGGGGCGTCCTCGTATTGTTTTCCTTCTTTTTTTTTTTTTTTTGTTCGTTTCGTTTTGTGTAAGTCGACTGAAAAAGCCCCCCTCTTTTCCCAACCCCTTTTCCGACCTCTGCGCGGGTATGAATCCAGTCTTTTCGGAGCAGTCTTTCAAGCTATGTGGATTCTAGCCTTTTCTGTTTCTTTCAGCCTCTTCGCCTGCTCCTCCAGGGAGGGGGAGTGGGGTCTTTTAGAGGCCGCTCCGTTCAGCGGGTCCACGACTCGGCTCACCAGGGTGGGGATGGAGCTGCCAACGGGGGGCGCCGCGTGTTTAGATGTCACGTGTTCTGCGGAAACGAGCACACGTACAAAACGTAGACATATTTCAATCATTTAAATATGTTCATATTTGGCCCGCTTCAGTAGTCAGTATTCTTGTTGGCATTCATTTGAAATCTTGCCGTCGTCTCAAATTGGAGCAGAATTAAGTCAAATTTCATCGCAGGATGATGTATTTAGGTAATCAGGGTTAGAAGGCTTGAAAAGCTTAGAGCAACTGCAAGAGGACATCCGGTCTTTGTAGGCCGTTTTTTAAAATTGTGTTTAAGTTACAGACAAAAAGAAGGAAATATGTGAATAAGCACAGCTTTGATGGAAATTTTAGCTTTATCAAAAAAAAAAGAAAAAAGGAAAAAAAAAAAGAAAAAAGCTTGAACGGCTTTCCGAAAAAGATATAAAGACATAGTACAGTTGTATGTTTTGGTTCCGTTAGTCTGGCTTTTTATTACCTAACCTGTCTAGTTCTGAGCCAATTACCATTTTGTTTTGGTGGTATCTAAAAGTACAAACTGCAGGAATACTGACATTGATTCTCTTGCCTGATCCCATCTAACTTCACCTACCCCAGCCTAAAGTTTACCTGGCATGCTGTAATAATTTTGTGTGGCTTGTTCCAGAAAGTCAGAAAAAAAAAAAAGCATGCATAAAGCCTTGTTGAATTTTAGGTGAGGTCATCAGACGTAGAGGAGGTGGAACAAGAGAAACTAACACAACCGAAGAATTTCTTCTTTTATTTTTGCTCCATATAAAAGTAGCTAAAATAACATTCTATTCAGCCAACAACGAATTATTCAAATGTAGGGTTAAATTCCCAAATTAAATTGAATGTCATACACATATACAAACTCACTTGAGCCAATGACTGGAATGGACATGCCCTTCTCTTCGCTAGTGGGAGGAGCGTCAGTGATGAGGGTGCCATCGAACACCGGGGGCTTTGGAGGTGTGATGCTGTCAGACCGTACAAAAATAACCAAAACAAAACAAACAAAAAAAAACACCCCCCCATAAAAAATAAATAAAATAAAAAAATAATAAAAAATGACACGTCAGAAACTGACAGCGACCATTAAAAAAAAAAGGAGAAAAAAAGAGGGAAAGAAAAATAAAAGATCAAACTGACTTGTGGCGGTTGAGGGCCAGTTTAATGGAGTTTTTCACCACACGGCAACTGTTACTGGCGGGGAGAGGTGAGGAGGCGTCTGGCAGCTCCATGCTGGGAAGTCTCTGTGGTCGGCAACAGCAACAGAATTAATTCATTTGAAAAATGATTAGTTAACAACCGCAGAGGGATGCAGAGTACAAAATAACTAAGTTACCTGTGTTCTTGAGGTATCAATTGTTGGAATGGGCTTTGCCTTTGATCCAGCTTGAGGTGGCTAGCAATACAGAAAAAGAAAATAATAAATATTTTTTCCCCCCCACTTTCAATTTGCTTGAGAGAGCTGGTTTTACGTGACTGGTGACACTTACAGTGCTGGGGGCTTCTCCGTGCGGACTGCAGTCAGAGGACGGTGGATATGGCTCTTTGAAAGCAGACTCCTCGTTGGACACCGCCTGCAACCAAAACAACAGAACCGTTTCGCGTGCTGCTCAATTCTGAAAGCCCCCCGTCTGCCCAAATAGAGGGTTTTTTCTCTTACGTCCGCCTCCTTGAGCCTCTTGGCCAGGTCTTCTTGTGTGGGCGAATGCGGTCTCTTGGCGGGGGCTCCGTTGACCGGGTCTTCCAGGCCGTTGGGCTCCTCTTTGGGGCTGCTGGCCGCGCTGGGCTTCCCGCTCAGCGCCGTGCTGGCAGAGTTGCTGGCTGGCGGAGAGGGAGGCTTTGCTTTCACCGAAGGCTCTGCGCCACAAGGACAAGGATGGGAAATGCATCATAAATCTAAATTTTAGTCAAGCGATCGGACTGAATCGCTAAATAAATATCAAATAAAAGACAAAAAAGAAGAATTTATTCCTGATAGATTGAATCGGTCTGATGTCCAGACTCACTGGAGCTCGGTTCGTTACCATCAGGTGCCACGCTTGGGGTCGGGGAACTCTCCACAAAAAGCTGCTTGGGAGGGCTGGAGCTGTAGAGAAAAAAAGAACCCCCGACACATTTTGAGTATCGTTTAGTGGATGGAGCATTTATGGGTGACGATAGATCTTTTACATAGAAAACAGATGGGCGTCGTACCTGTCGTCCGTGTCTGATGTGGGTTTAGCGGGTTTGCCGGTCGGGGAGGTAAAGGGAGTTCCTGAGTCGGTGTCCCTGGAGCTGTCCAGGTGACTGCTGTCCAGAGAGATTCGCTTTGAGCTCCCGCCGTTGGAGCTCCGGTTCAACTCTGCTATGCTCTGCAGAGAGACAAGAGCGGAAAACGCCATCAAATATTTAGAAATAAAAAAGGGACACAACGGCAGCAATGCGACAGGTGGAGGAAGACCCTCTTTCCTACCCTCTTCTTCCTCTGCACCAGTTCTGGGGGGAGGTACTGATGGAGCTGCTTCTTCTTCACGTGTGTTGCCTCAATCTTCATCCCGTCTTTCAGCATGTTGATGTTGTTAGCTTGTCTGTACACTGTACACAACAACGCAGTGTTAAAACTAAAGAAACGAAAAACCTCTGTAGTCTTTCTCCAAGAACATTTACGTCTTTTGGGGATTTTCTTCTTAATCACATCATTTACATGTGCTGTATTTATGATGGCCTCGTGGTTTCAGTATCAAAAGAAACAGTATTTATGGGAATCAGGCTAACTTCTCTTTCATTTAAAGAACTCCACTAATAATCACGGTTGCCACTGACACTTTCAGGTTAGGTAACCTCAAAAGGAAACTTCAAATCATCTGAACCATGTTGCTTTTTGATTACGGTACCCAGAAAATATGTTTTTTTTTTTTTATGTAGACAGGTTTTCCGTTATGTGTGAACTGCTGTTCATATCTTGAGCGAGGGGCCGTTTATATTCACAACCTAATGTCTCATTTGAATAATAAAAACATATGATCCACTAGTAAACATTTTGCTTCGCTAAATGAGTTGCATGCAATCATTCATTTGCATGCAATCATTATGATCAAAAAGAACATAACAGAATGCATTCCCCGTTTCTTTTTTTCCCCCTCCACCGCTCAAACACCAACTTCAAACATTGACCGGTGGCCTACCGGTGTCGGTGAAGGACTGGATGTCGTACGTCAGGTCAATGTTCACGCTCTCTGCATTCTCCACCTTCTTGAAGATGATCCCGATGAACCACATGGACACAAACTCGTTCCTGTCGCACAAAGGCACGGTGTCCAATTGAATTAGTGAGAACCGGAACACAAGCTTTAACAACGCTGGTAAGGAGGAGAAGAGAGAAGCAAGAAGGCTGGACCCACTCGCTGCGGTTCTCTTTGGACCCGGGGAAGGACTGAGGATTGACGTGGGCCAACGTGATGTACTCGTTCCTCTCGAGGTTTCCGACCAGGACGCGGATCTTTGACTCTACGAGGCCGATCCTGTTCGGTAGAGTTCAGTATCTTTCATTTTTAACATGCTAATAGCTACATATACAATGAAACAGCCAGGTGGGAAAACAGCAGTACCATTTAGATCTAACAATGCAATTTTTGGTCAATGAAAGCTGAAAATGGCTTTAGAATTTACTTTAAATACAACAGCCATCCTGGCCTTTGCACTCACCATTCTAAGTGGTTTTCTTCTGTGGATGCGCTGGCAGTCAGAACAATGTAATGCCTGCAGTAGAGAAACACAATCAATGAACAACCACAAAAGAAGAAAAGAAAAAGCCTAGCTCAAAGAAGTTAAGAAATATTCCATAGGCAATTTCTCACATGATTATCGACAAAAAATTACCACTGGTTGGTACCAGTTAGTACCTTGTCTTTCCTCATAACACAATTGCTCATAGAAAAACAAACAAACAAAATGTTTAGTCAGCACTTTTCTAGGCAAACCTTCTTTTGGAGCAGAACATTGACCCTACAAAGTGAGGGTGACTAATGCGTCTCTACAAGCGGGACCCGAAACGCACAAATCCCGGCACCTAACTCGGCTGCGGTGCGTGTAACGCGTGGGCTGAACTTTCAGACTGCACACCCACTGGGCGTTAGTGACCACAGGGATGACTCAGACCCGCCCAAATCGACACCTTCGAACCGGAGGGTGGTTGGGAAAAAGAAGCTGGCACCTCAACGACTTGCTGCCATATGCAACCGTTTATAACAATTGTGTTACCAAGGACAAGAGGGAAAAAAACAAAACAAAAAAAACAACAACTCATGTTTGTCTGGCAAAACACCTACTTGTATTTTTGGAAAAAACTGGGCGGCTCAAAGAGCTTGGACCATTCCGCTTTGCCCTGAAGGATCTCATCTGTGACGTTAAGACCTGTTGAGGAGAAGGTACAGCCGCACATGAAGGGGAATGCACGTTTTACAGACGTGGATCTCAGCTCGGCGGCCGCGGGGCGACCGTGTGTACCGTGTTTAAACTCCTCGCTCATGATGGTGCGCGTCGACGTGGAGACGTTGTACGTGGAGTTTTGCTGGGGGTAGGCGGGCGTGATGATTGGCATCAGGTGGTATCTGTCGGACGGGTTAACCTACAAAGAGGAACACGGGACAGAATAGTTTTGCTTTTCGAAAATTAACGGCAAAGCCTATGCAAACGTGACCGCCAACTCGTTGAGCAGGGCCTTGTTCCCACCCAACACACATTAATTCCCCTTTAGCTTCCTCACTTTTTTTCTATAATCCATAAGTCACAAAAAACGTTTTGTTCCTCCACTTTAAAAAAAAATTTAAAAAAATGGAGGAACATAGAAGTAATTTCTGACACCAGAAATCTCTTTCCTTTAAATATTGAGCAATGATTTGCATCTTCAGAGGGACACATTTAAGAGTATTAACTGTTTCCTACATATGTTTTTTACTTTACTCATCCATTTAAAATCTGTCACAAATATTTGTAAGTATTGCACTCATGGAAAACAACAACATATGCTGCCATTCAGGCATTCAACACGCGTAAACCAGTATTGCATTTGGTATCACAGTTGTTACCGCTTTGTTTGTGGCTATTTTACCAGAAACATTCCTCAGATGGCTGTGAAATGACTTCTTTCTGCAATGACTTTTGGCAGCTTTAACCCAATCACGCATCGTGTGGACGCAGCTTTGGAAAACAGGACACTTACTCGGCAGTTACTGAACGAATACAACACAAAAACTCCATTGAAATGTGTTTTTTATTGCTAAAAAGAACACAACAATCATGACAGAGCAGTTCCAATGGCTGTGTTACAATGATGTGTTTTAGCTTAAATCAACGGCACAATTAGTTTGGAATAAGTAGGTTTTATTGACTAAAGTCACACAAGTATATTACAGTTCTGGTCAAAAGCTCGGGCTCTGACTGTGAGAGAACATAATCTGGAGTGCCCCCTGGTGTGTGGATGCCACATCTACACTTTGATTTCAGGATAATGATAAGAGTTCTCTATTATAAAAATAAAAACACGTGTGTTACACAAGAGCAGGTTTTAACATCATTAGCTTGTCAGCTGCAATTTTTGATGTTTACTTAATAAATAAATCTCCCAAAGGCCCATCTTTCATTAATGAGAGAACTGAGCACTACATGCAAGCCGAGTCATGTAAAGTGGCCGTTACAGTGATATTTCAAGAGGGTTTGGAACAGAAGTGCTTGTTTATTAAAGCTAATACATTCTGTGTCTATTTGATAGACGTCCATTTAGGAAGTCTTCCTTGCTTCGAGCTGCTCTGTGAAACTTCCTCCGAGCAGAGTTAAGGGCTTTGTCACATGAGGACAGAAGGATGGGGAGAAAAAAAAATAAGACAGGAAACTTACCTAAAAAACAACTACCAAAAAAAAAAAAAAAAAAAAAAATCAGTGACAAACCTTTTACAGGAATGTCCAGAAATTGTTTCCTCCAACACTGCAATCACCGTGGCAAACAAATACAAGGGGGTGGGGCATGATAAACATTGCAACTAATAGATAAGTGGTCATACTTACTCTGGGATCCCATACAGGTAAGTTCAGGTTACTGTCCTCAGGCTGCTTCAATAGTACTGGATTTGGCCACTCCCTGCAGAGGGAAACGGCGTGTGTCGTAAACCAACGTGCAAAGTACAAAGATCTCCGTCAAAAGGTCCAAAAAAAATAATAGCCTGGTTCTCACCATTTGGAGAAAACTAAGAAGAACTTGTGGACGAGCGTGGCAGCCACAGCGTTGGGGTAGAGCTGGCAGGTCCTGGCCACCAACATGGCCCACGACACTCCACCCAGGAAGCCCAACATGTTGGAGTAGATCCCTCGCCCTGCAGCCACAGGACGAAATATAGAAAGGTGTGCGATATTTAAACGATTATTCGTCAAGGATTCGTCTCAGCGGGACGCATACGAGTGTAAAGAGGCATCACTTACGTTTCGCCCAGAGTTTAATGGCTCTCAATGTCAGCCTGAAGTTTTCTTTGTTTGGCACCAGGTACAAAATTTCATCGGTGACTCGACAACCTGTGGGTAAGCAAGCAAAACGGCTCATTTTTCTGGCCAATCCGCTCACTTCCCTGCGGAGTGAAAGCCGCGGGACGTACCGTTAAGGCTGCGGATACACCGAATGTCCAGGTTTTTTAGGATGGAGTCTCCCCTCAGGTCCAGGTTGTCTGGGATGGACTGTAAGGCCAGTCTGGCAAACAGCAGGTCAATCTGTGCGTTTGGACACAAAGCATTACCTCCAGAACAGCGGGGGGTTCTTTGGCTGTCTCACACACCCCCATTAAGCCGCTGTACTAACAGTTATCAATAAGAGAAGTCTTTGGGGATGTTTGCAGGACAGGAAGCTACAGCAGGTATGCTTAGATCATGCAAGACTTCACATTCTTGTTCCCAACACACAACGCCAAACAACTGAGAATTGGCTGACATCTAATATCGTTTATCATTAGGAGCAAGTCCAGAAGCACATGTCCAGAATAAATTCTAAGTACACTCTAAGTCACTTTGGATACCCACAACCACCTGTACCCTCAGTTTACAAAGACAATGTCACAGAGAGAGACATTTCTGGCATCAAATAAAAAATGAGTGCATTTATAAAAGAAACCCATTCCTCAGTTTTAATTAGGGATAGAACTTTATACAGTCATTTTTAACTAGTCAATTACAGCAAAGGTAACGGGTTTAAAAAACAAACAAATGAACAAAAAACCAAGTAAAACTGTCTCAAGTCCCTAATTTTGGATTAGCATTGACCTTTGTCAGTGCGTGAGAAAGTTGGGTAGCCAGTGATGGATGGCGAGAACACGTTTAGCTCAATGGGCGGAAAGGTTTCTTTTAAGAAACTTCCTAAGTACAGCTTTTCTATTTAAAAATCATGTCCCACCTCAAGTTTTAAATAACTTGGTCTTGGCATAATTTGCAACAAAACAGAGGTTTAAAGTGAATCCCATTTCCATTTTACATATCTTAGCTTCCCACAAAGAGCTATCTACTTGCACGCAACAGCATTTCCAACATGTGAATTCAATTCATGCACACTGTATTTCTGTTGCTCACCTCAATCCCATCAAACTTGAATTTTATCACTGGTACAAAAGCGTCCTCGACAGCCTTGAAGGGGAAAGAGGATAAGGAAAATTTGACGTGAAAACAACAATAAAAAACTAAAACAATCTGTCCCCAGAGAGCATAACGAGATAATGTGGTGAGCTGCGTTTTAGTGAGAAAAAGTAGAGACTTACCCTGAGATCTTTAATCTCTTCGTGCTGTTTCAATTTCTCAAAGAAAGACTGGAAAAAGTCAGTTCTCTCTACATGGCGTGGAGCCACACACAAGGCATCAATATCAGCTCCTGCAACGAGCAGTGATTTCCATCAGCCGGCTGAACTCAAGAAACTATCCCTCATGTCGACAAATGCAACATTAGGAGAGGTCATGTTATAGTTAAGCAGGCAGTTCAACGTGTTCCGGACAGAGAAACTACAGAGACTTCAAGTGGTGAACATGAAACCATGAACATTCTGTTCTTTATTTTAAAAAACGGTGAGGCATTTGTTTTAGTCTGTTACTACTAGGCGTAGTACTCGCTTTAACCCTGGGCAAGAAATCATGCAACACTTTGGGTCTCATCAAGAGAATCTGTGTTTTCAAATAAACAGAAACTCACACCAAAAAGCCTTCCTGTAACCTCCCTGCTTAATCTTTACTTGTGAAACAACTTGACACCAAGCAGAGGACATATACGCCCAAGCCCCTTCCCACTGATCTATCTTGTTATTGATATATTAAGTCAATCAGACACACAGCAACTATAATGACCAAGGGTTTCACCCATGAGCTGAAGAGGAACTGTACATCCAACGGCAAACCATTCAGTTTTAGAATTCCAACAAACACAATTGATGATGTTTTAAGGCCACCGAAGCTGACATTGATGCCCGTACACATGGTTTATAATCATTCATATTCAACCTTTTCAAGTAGGAGCTTCCATAAAAAAGTTTGTGAAAAATTCAGTGTTCTGTATTCAGTAGATATCTCCCCATCATTTTGCATAATTTAGGAGGCTTCTTTGCTGCCACGTATACCAATATTGATTAAAATCTATTTTAAAACAGCTTACATAAAAAGAAAAACCAGGGAAAGTTTTATAAAGTTAGCCAATTAAAAAAAACTTTAGAAAAATATAGCTGATAGTTTATTTTATACTGGCTTCAAATCTGAATGTACATTTAATATAGTATATAAATATAGAGTCAAGAACACATGTTGCTGCTTAATGTTTGGAGCAACATGTGTATGGAAATGGACCGCCTGTTTGAAATTGAGCCGTTTACAGGTGAGAATGTCAGAGCAAGCTTTCTGTTAACTCTCAAAGAGAGTTTGGTTGCCTCTTTGACCCCAAAACTAGGTTTTCAAAAAAACAACAGAAGACGAGGACAATAACGTGAGCTTTAGCAACAGGGGGAACTGAGCCTTTCAAAAACAATTATGACGCATACCTTTTTAGGTGTGACTGCCTGTTGTGTTTGGGGCAGCTTCCTGTACTTTTTTTTTTTTTTTTAAAGAATTTAAGCAAACGTAGCTGATTGTGCAATAAGCGTCTCGCCACTTCCCAGGAAATACCAGGTGCTTGAGGGAAGATATATAAAAGCAAGTTAAAAAGACTAAACGTACCTTTTGTGTGCACACCGAGTCTGTAGGAACCAAATGTAAATATCTTTCCCCCAACACAGCTAATTGCTGATGGTGGAAGGTTCTGTGAGAGAAAAACAGATGGTTGTAGGAAAGAGGAAAGACTTTGTCTTAAAGTTTCTAAATAAAAATAAACAAATAAATAAATAAAATTAAGCTTTGTAAGCTTTTTATAAGCCATACAGCATCAAATCAACCTACCTTTAATTCACTGATCTCTGCAATCCACTCCTTAACAAAGTTATTTAACTTCCCGAGAACAGCAAGTCTGAAAGGAGAAATATCATTTAGGATGCTTGTTTTCCCTAATTTAATTTCATGCAATGTGAATGGAAAAGTTTTTTTCCATACATTTAACAGGTCTCCTTAATTTGACCTGTATAGCCACATTTCAGGAGTAGAAAAACAGGAGCAATCTGCAAACATGCCACAACTTTGATTTGTTCTAACGAGTGTATTCCACACAAAACGCTGCCGGGATTGGCGCGCGTGGGAGAGTGACACCAGACATTGGGAAAGGGAAATTTATGCAAAAGGACTAATCCATGTCAGTGCATTTCTAAACGGACCGTTAGAAGTGTAAAGTTTTATGTCTCTTAAAAAAAATCAAATCTCAGATGAGGACACTTCAGGAAGGACCCCAGCAAATGATAATGTCCCAAAAAAAACTAAAGAGCATCACTAAAAATTAGGTCTGGGCAAATAATATAATCCATAAACAAGGTAAAACGAGGGTGCCCTCTCTTAGTTTCGCTTGTGAGCTTTGCCATGACAGCTTGTATCCAAAAGTCCAAAATATCTGTATCATGCGTCTCACCTGTGGTTCAGCTCCTCTTCATCTTCAAACACTCCAAAAGGATTCATAGCATCGCACAGCTTCTTTGTGTACTCGTGGTCTATGTCTCGTGGGGGAGCAAGGCTAATGGCAGAGGTGATACCATAGTGTTTCTGAGGCTGCTGCCCACCAGGCATGGTGCTGTGAGGAACATGACAAGAACAAGGCGCAACAGATGAATTTACATACTTCAAACCGGCGCTTCGGGTTTCTCCGTGAACGCACCACGTGCAACGTATTGGGCTTGAATTTAACCATCACATAGCTAATTAACAGCTAATTAACAGCAAATCATTACGTAAGACAATTTCTTAGATCCTCTTTTTTCCTACCGCGAACTCCAGTGTAAACACTTCACTGACAGCAATTAACTTAAGTTTGAATAACTTTGACGGACAGCTTAAAACCCATAAATGATTCAAATTTAAAAATGACGCGCGACTTTTTGAAAAAATGTTGCAAAAACTCCACAAAACTGACCCATACTTACCCTCAGCTCAAGGCGAGGGAACGTTAGCTTAGAAGCTACAAACAGGTTGGAAGCGCTAACAAATTAGCTAATTTAGCAGGTTAGCAAATGTTAGCTGTCTGTTACGGAAGAACTGATAGACAAATGAGTTTATTCTCGGTTAGAGGTGTCAAAGAGTTAAAGTTGCGCGTTAGAAAAAACAACAAGTGACATAAGTTCATTACTGAAACCATTTCCACCAGTTACACAACAACAAACATGCTAGACAACGTACGGTGGCTGCAGGCCTTGTTGTGACAGTTGGCTAACATTAGCTTTTAGCCTATTCTTCAGGATCATGTTAAATGCTAACAAAATAGCTTGTAAGATGAAAACGTACCACGCTCGGGACTCACCTTGACATTTCTTTCATGACACTCTAAAAAACTTGCACTGATGACGGCAGTAAATCCGTAAAAAAAAAAAAAAGAAGAAAGTCGGCAAGTGGGAATGATAACAGCCTCGACCTGATTACAACAATGGTCACTTTCTAGAGCAGTTCAAACCTTCCCACTGAACCGGAATCACTACTTATAAGATAACGAATCAGCTCATAGTACTGAAAGAATACTCGTACCTAATCCATCCCCAAAACATACATTGGTTTTAATGCTAGCAGTTAACGACGCGTTGGCTTGCTGTTATGAGCTTTTTAGATTCAAAACTACAAATGTAACGGTGTTTGAAGCACCACGCTGAACAACCATCGTCAAGAGGCACCGCCTCGCTGATCCTCAACTCACGTGACCGGGGAGGCCTATTGCTGTGGGGTACGAAACAGAACGCTGCTAGCTCTGGCTTGCACAACGCACCTGACGGGGAAAAGCGGACTAATTTGTACTAGATTCAGGCATTTGACGAGTCAATTTATTTAAACTACATACATGCAAACAAAACGAATCATTGACAATTCGAACAACTTTATGTAGCTGATATAAACTCAAATCTAACGTAGCTCAAGTGTTTCTAATCGGTAAAAAAATTGCAAACAAGTTGTTGTGATAAATAATTATTATTCCTCTAATAAAATGGCCTTTAACAGATTGTGTCAACAAGGAATAAAACAGGATTTCTGACAGTAGAATTAAGCCAACATGTCTGAATTCTAAACTTCTGTGTTGATTAATGTAATTCAGTGTATGCCAGTTGAAACGTGTGAAACCAAGCATGCAACACATTTATTGGCAACAATTAAAAAACTATATTAGGGCAAACTAAGTACGTACAATTTTCCAGAATCCAGAAACTTAGAAAGATGAATAATAAATAATAATAATAAATAATATAATAAATACATAAATAAAAAGCTGGTAATATGAGCTGCAGATGCAGTAAAACGAATTACCTCTTGAAAAAATGTCAGCAGTTTTGTATTGGATAAAATAATATTTAATGTCTAATAATTTGTGCAGGTGTGTAGCTCCTTTTCTCGCGTTCCTTATTTGATAGCAATAATCGTACAGTAAAATTATTTTTAAAAAAGTTAAGTGAAGTAAAGAAACAGAATGACTGTTTGTCAAATGCAGAAGTGAAGAATATCATGATAAACAACTTGTTTTATTAGGATGATCCCCAGGGTTGTTTGGGTATTGGCAGAATCGTTTACAGGGGTAACAGCTCCCTCTAGTGGAAGCACAAAGTAAATAGTTTTATGTCTGTTACTCTGAGCCTGTCCCTAAGAATTGATTAAATTATGAATTTACCATTTGGCTGTTTTACTTTTTCATCAGTTATATTCTGCCAGTTAATTGAGAAAACATTTGTATAAGAACATTGACCAGTCTGGTAAAATTTTAAAGTTGGAGGCAAGTTTCAGGATAACATCCATGTGAATGGCAAGATGCAGGCTTTCAGAACATTGCATTGTCATAAGATCAACAGTGTTACTTCAGATACAGTCTTGTGGAATATTCTACTATTTGACTTGCTTAAAGGTTTTATACTTAAAGATTAACCACTCACAGAGTAAGAAATCAGTGCATATGCTTGTGAAAACTATGTGGAATTGTGTGGAATTGTGTCTCCACAGCCTCACAGTCTCTGGATGATGAATAAATCTAAAAATCCATAGTTTCTGCTAATCATTACAATACAAACAGACCGTTACTGTGTTACTTATTATGACAGCACAGCCAACCTTTCACCGGAGTAGTACAAAGAGCTCCTCCTTTGTTGGCTTCCGCCCACTTCTGCATTTTGGACTTTCAGTATTAGCACATTTAAACATAAAAAAGAAAGGCTTAGTGACTGTAGGTTAATACCGCAAGACAAACTCCCAAAAAAATGAGCAGCCAGCCTCGTTTGGTGAACGTCCAGGACTGGATTGCAGAAAACCAGAATGCTTTCCTGCCACCAGTGTGCAACAAGCTGATGTAAGTTATATGTTTTGCTACCATATTAGCTAAATATATCATAGCTGATGCAGAAATTAACCAAAGATAATTTAATCTGAAAGCTGTATTAAAGTAATGCAATGTTACATTTTTAATTTATGGTCTTTTTAGGCACTTTTCACAGTTGCTCATCATGTTTGTTGGAGGCCCTAATACCAGGAAAGATTATCACATAGAGGAGGGGGAGGAGGTGAGAAAAAATACTGGATATTATGTCCTAATTCCAGCTCACACATACACAGTAGCTGTTTAAGTTTTTTCGATTTTTAGTTTTCATCTAACTTCTCTTTACCATTTACTCTCATTTCCCCACGTGACTATCTTGTCCCCTAATAACCAGGCCAAAGTCTACCACGGTGTTGCAATGCTTAATCAAATGATTTTGGCTGGTTGCCACAGCTTTTTTTTGACGGGTTCTGATGTTGTTGCTATCAGGACCTTTGAGGTTTACCAAGTCAAAGTATACTGCCACATGGAACTAACTCTTACTCATAAGTAAATTAGACTTTTGAAAAGATCTGCATGACAGTCACACAATCTTTGCTCAGGTTGTTGATTGTCCCTAAGCTTTTTCTTCCCCTTCCCATCTTTGAGTTATATTGTTTTTCCACTTAATTGATTTAGTTATGAAGTGTCAATTGACAAAAGATAATTCCAGTAGATACAGTAAGGTTGTAATTTAATTCCGTTACAATTAAATCAAATAAACTGAACTCCAAATTGCAGCTATTTCATGAGAATAAGTCATAATAACACAAAAAAGATGCATTGCAAAGGAAAGAGCTAATAGTTGTCGATAATAATGAATATGTATGATTACAGCATTCTTTATAGCTTTGTGTATTATTACTATGTCAACAAAGATGGGTTGAAATACACATGAGTTCATTCAAAGGACGGACCACAATGAAAAGCTTACTTTGGGATAAGGTTGTTGTTAGCTTGGCAGAACAAACACAGACTACAGACTTTTCTAAGGCTGCTCCATTTGATGATTCTGTAGCCACAACATAGTCTCATTGATAAGAGAAATAATTTTGTTCACAAAGAAGTCACACAGAGAAATCAAGTAGTACATGGCTGAACAGGGCTAAAAACACGTTAATCAGAGGTTGTTCTTGTTCCCTTCTATCAAGAATTCTTACAAAAATAATGCTAATTTGGTAGAGGACACTCTTTTGGGGTGCAGTTCTTTCTTTCACTGCAGTTCTTTCATATTAATTGGACAGTATTGCTTTCAAGCTTACTTGAAATCTGCTTTAAAGCTCACAGTTGTGAATTAAACCAGGAGGCCAGCCTCCTCTGATTGTTTGCCCCTCTTATTCGATGGATCACTAACCAAAGAATTATAGTTAACGACGAAGACTGTTACGTATTCACTGGATTGGAACGTTCGTACACAATGGTTACAGAAAGAACAATACACATAACGACACACATAAATACACGTTTCACCCAATATTTTATAGGATTTCTGAAAGTGGTTTTACATTTAATGCATAAAAAATGTTTGTGTCACATGAGGTGTCTTATCATCTTCCTAGATACGGTTGATGCAAACTAAAAGAAGGGGGGGGGGGCTGGATTTATTGCAGACATGCTTGCAATTATAAACACTGGTAATGCAGTTTACATAACTCTATGGGGACTCAACATAATCCAAAATATTCCCTCCATTGCCATTGCTGGAACCTGTCTGATTCATGTCGCTTTTAAATTAAGATTAAGACTGCTCTTTGTTTCCTTTACGCCCCTATTGGTGCAATGAATCACTCTGCAAGATTAATTGATTGAAATCGCTCTTTTGCTTCACACCAAAAGAGCAAACTCTAATTATTACATACTAATTTTCTTACATACTAGGAAAACTACAGAGCAAAGCCACCCCAACGGGGCAATTTTGATAACAAATAACTTGAGAAATGGGATTTTTATTGGCTTTTACTCCCTTTTTGTAAATCAAATGAATTAACAGAGGCTACACAATGGCATTCAAACATAAAGAATGACATGTTTGAAACATTTGTTTGGACAAAACTGTGTCAGCTCTTACTAAAACGCTCAACGATTTAATACCTATTAACATCGATTTGTTCCTGATATGATAAACAAACAAACAAACAACGTTTTTTCTGCATATGTATAGTAGGGCAAATATACTTTGATGAACAGTGGTGTTCCTTCTCTTCTCTCCCGCCTTGCATCTGGTTTTAAATAGTTGTTCTACCAGCTGAAGGGAGACATGTGCCTGAAGGTGATTGAAAATGGCAAACACAAAGACGTGCACATCCGAGAGGGAGAGGTGAGTTACATAATGCTCGTTCAGCGCGTTTCTATCCATCTGGTTTCTCCAGTTTTACCTCTACATTTGGAAAACAGCTCAACAGCATGCGTTCCTTGTTTTGAATGGTTTCTGCTCGTGAAAAGAAGGAAGCAGCATACTTCTGCACCAGGCAGTCTGCATCATGTGGTTTTGTTCCTCGTTCGTTAGATGTTTCTGCTTCCGGCTCGGATCCCTCACTCCCCTCAGAGACAGGCCAACACTGTCGGACTGGTGGTAGAGAGAAGACGGTTGCTGACTGAGACAGACTGCCTGAGGTGATGTGCTGGACCTCACTTTTTCCCTGACCCTCACCTCCCATTTTTCCACACAGACAACATTAAGACAACATGTTCTCATACGAGCTTTAACGTTTAACTTCAGAGGCATTGAGACAGTGAATGAGTGTAGACCCGAGTTTTTGTAAGTAGCTTTAATCCTCAAAATCCCATGCAAGCGTAAAAAAATTACCGTCAGTAAGATAAAAAAAAAAAACTCAATATGATGGAAAAATAACTATCCACATCCACAGTTCAAATCTTCTACTTAGATATTCTAAGCGTTTTCTTTTATTAAACATGGAAAGAATTGTATTTTATCTTATTTTTTTAGCATTACTTCGTCAGGTAATGGAAATAAATAAAAGTTAGACCACAAGCATTTTTCCTCTTGTAGTTTAGGGTCACATCTGAAGTCTTTACATGACCTTACGCGATCCAAATATGCACATAAGCAAATACGGATAAAGGATTGATGTCATTGATAGCGAACTGTCCCTAATAAGCCCCAAATAAGGATTCTACTTCATGTGTTGCAGAGAGTGGGCCAGTAAAGTTGCTTCCTGTGATGCATCTCTGTTTTGAATGAGTTTTGAATGTAAAGTTGCACATTTTTTAAGTAACTTAAACCAGTGGCTGCAATTTCCCCGTTTCTTTCAGGTATTATGTGGACAACACCACTGACGTCCTGTTCGAAAGATGGTTCTACTGCCAGGATCTAGGAACCCAGTTGGTGCCAATCATTAAAGAGTGAGACAGACAGTTGTTCAATTCAATTCAATTCAGTTTTATTTATACAGCGCCACATCACAACAACAGTCATCTCACAGCGCTTTCAAAACAGAGCAGGTCAGACCCTACTCTGAAGTTAATTACAGAAACCCAACAATTCCCACCATGAGCAAGCACTAGGCGACACAGGCAAGGAAAAACTTCCTTTTAACAGGCAGAAACCTCGAGCAGAACCATGGCTCAGGGTTGGCAGCCAGTAGTCCCTCCTGTATGCATGGTGTCCATTCTGTTGTACGGTTTATTTTTTTAAATGTAGGTAATTAGGTTGATTTGTCTGCTTGCAGATTTATGGCATCGAAGCAGGGCAAAACAGGAAGACCTGATCCAAGTGAGTTGTTCAGAGGTGCTGTTGGTTTATATTTAGACCGACGGGCCTCTCAGAGATTAAAATGGCTGCCTCGTTTATCTCGGGGACGACAGACGAAGTCTTCAGAGAGCCCCCGTTCCAGTTCAACACCATGAATGTGATGTCGCCGTTCTCCTTCAAAGACTGGCTGGAGAAACAGCGGCCGTCCCTTGGCGGCGGACGGCCCATCGATATGTTCGGGGCCCAGTTTGAAACGGAGGTGACGGAAGTAGATTCTTGTTTTTGATAATTAGGCAGAGCTTGACATTTCCATAAAAAAACCCTCAAACCTCCGATCCATTCTGTTGTACCTTGCGGTCAAACAAATGCTCTAATTATTCAACTAATTAATTAAACCCCGCCGTTAGTTAAGTAACTGTACTCAAACTATTTGCAAACATATTGTTGGAATATGCGACTTTCCCCTTGACTGTAACTGCTATAGAGAAAAAATAAGCTAAATAAGAATAAAGACAAAACAAATGTTTTAGGACCCTGAAAGTGAGGCATGAGAGCAAATTGTTCCATTAATACCATTAATGCAAACCGACCTGTTGGAGGCACATTTCCGCTCTTTCTTAGCACATTGTCATCCCTTGTCCATATCTTTTCATGGTCAGTAGGGTCTGGTCCTATTTCAGTAAACATGGAGCAAGATGGGGGATGCATTATTATCCACCTCTCAGAGAGTTTACCTACTTTAACCATGTTAACGGTGAAGATGTTCTCAGTATCATAATGAAATATTTAATGAGATTTCCTTGTTGCTGATGGACAGGCCATGGTGTTCGGACCAGGGCTAACAGAGGCAACGCTGCTGCCAAGTGATGTGTGGATTTGGCAACAGGTACACACACGCACTATTCAGTCAGTCGCAGCTGCTGCTCGCTTTTCTTGCTAATCTCTTCTTTATGTATCTTTTCCTCTGTGTCCTACACAGGAGGGATCGTCAAAAGTGACCGTGGCTGAGCAGGAGTTCAGTCTTTCTGCGGGAGACAGTTTGCTCATTCCTGAGCAGAGCCAGTGAGTGTGTCATGTCAAAAACCGACTGAGAATGATTCTAAGTGGTGTTAAATGGCAAAAAAAACGAGCAAAAATAGCTAACCCAAATACTTTTTTTTCATTTAATGTTTTATTTAACCATTTAAAAAAGTAATAAATGGCTTTTTCTTTTATAGATACCAGTGGCAGAGAGACGAAGGGACTGTTGCCTTGTTTGTCGTTCAAAACCCGGAGCGGAAAAGACCCTAATTAGCAACTTCCTGTACACATATAATAAAAGAAAATCATTACACACGTGGATCTGTCTTAAATCTTCACAAAAAGTTTGATGCTAACTTTATTGTAATAAGACACAGTAAGTTGTAACCTCTGTTTGTGTCTGTTGTCAATGCTGCTGAAAGTAAGTGTGGAGATGGTGGACGTTAATAGGCGGAACAATAAAAAAAATATTCAAACTATTTATTTTGTCATTACATTTCACAACGCGACAATATCACTAGTGTTTGGGAAAAAAAGGAAATAAAAATACGTGATCCAAGAGCGAGTCTTTGTGTTCTGGTGCCTTCTGCGTGGCAGCGTAAAAAAAAACAAGTTTAAACTCGTATCAGGTATGCATCTCCAATGCCAGATGATATCTATCCACTGTTATTATCTACTTGCTTCTCAATAAATTCTCCGGGGGAAATCCCGACAGGCCAACAGGGGGATACTGTGAGACGTGTCAACACATCTGTTCACATCAGGCACAGACACTTTTTCCTACACGCACTTGCTCACTTCAGAGGAAACCCAGTAATATTTTCCGATCAAGACCGTTAAGAAAAAATGTATTTTTTTTTTCTTCAGTTGTGCAGTCTTATCCTTAAAGTGTTCCGAATAACGAACTGCTCTGCCAGAAATGCCGCCGTGGCCCAGGCCGGCGCATACTCCAAAGTCACCAGCCCGGCCAAGTTATAGCCGTGACCCGAGTAATCCCAGGGACAGGCCCCGAGGAGCCTCAGCCCGGCGCCCCACCCGAACTCCCACAGGTAGATGAAGGCGGTGTAGGCCGCCAGCCGCACGGGCAGCGGGCGGCGCCGGGCCACCAGGCGGGCGCTCAGGCCCTCGATGAGGTAGATGGCGCCGGCGTACATGGGCAGCGCCCAGAGGCTGCTGTGGCCCGCCAGCCTACCGTCCCGCGTGCCGACCCAGTCGTAAACGGCGGTGAAGGCCACCTCGCAGAGGCAGCCGTGCAGGGCGTACACGTAGAGCCGGACAAAGGGGGAGACCGGGTGTGTTTCGCCTTTAGCTTCACCACTTCCTGCCGCACAGAAGAAGAAGAAGAAAAAAAAACTGGGTATTTTTGCCCACTAATAAAATAGTCAAACGCTCAAATCGTCACTCGTTGGTTTAAGGTGTTTGTAGCCCTGTTAGACAACAACCCATCATGGTCAGCAGTTATAAAAACAACATCAATTTAATTTATGTCTTCAGGCAAAAACAATACGTCCATGGAAATACAGTATATGTTTTTTTTTTACCCCTTATAGAAGATATTTGTTGCTTAAACACAACAGAATAGGTGAGATTTTATGTCATTTAAATTATTTAAAACAAAAGGTTGCGATGTTCTTAAGAAATAGGATGTCTTACCCCTTAAACATTATATCCAAAAACATATTTCCACTCGAAAAAGAATTCCATACATTTGGAAAAGTTACTATATATCCCAAAACCACACAGTTTTAATTATGTGCAAGGTGTCATGACGAAAGGCGCCCGTTCCTGAACCGTATATAAATTAAAAGGAGACTATCTAGCTTTATACTCAAAATGTTCCAACATGATTTCTTCTTCCCATTGTTCACGCTAACCAGTTCAAAAGATCTACATGCTTTTGTCATGTTCTTGTAGGGATTTTGGTCAGGAATATTTAGAACTTTCCAGTTGTAATTCTCCATTAGTTTTAACAATCAATTGGTTCTCTCAAAATCCTGTCATCAGAGCTTAAAGGCTAAAGGATCATTTTCACCAACAGTATTCTTTTTGTTGGAGTTTTTTTTCTCCACCTTTGAACTGTAGCTTGTATATTCCACTTATATTATCCACAGGAGAGCGTGCACAGAGTACATGTGAACAAGGTCTAATGTGGATTAGTGGTCTAATAGCCCAGGCTTAACAAGGATTGGAAAACCTTCTGTAGGTTTTCCCCATGAACTACAAACAAAGTCATTTATCTGTACTTATCTGATGGGAATAATTTCTCCTCAAACAACGGTAAAAAAGCCAAACCCCACCATTAATTACTGAACTCAGATAACTGAAATACACATGCAAAGACAACAAATTGAAACTCTAGTCATTATAGACCTTTTACAAATCGAATGAGTTAAACGCTAATAACTCTCACCTTGGTTATTAGCTCCCTCTGTGTTACCTGTTAATTTCCTCCCCTTCATCTTGTCCAGTGTATAGCTCTTTGCCCCTTTGTAATCCCGCTGCTTCTTTATGTGTGTGAGTGTACCTGTAGGCGTGTGTGTGTGTGTGTGTGTGTGTGTGTGTGTGAGTGGATCTGGAGCTAAACATTAAGCTGCTCCATGTTATCGGAGAGAGATGGTGATGTCTCTGCCACAGGATAAAGCCATGAACTGAGGGAGGACAGCCAGGGACCCGACTTGGGCCACTTAAAAAAAAAAAAAGTGTGTATCGATTCAACTGGGGTTACATGAATGTTTTATTTTAGGCATGAAGCAACTGTGCAAATAAGGTTATTCACGAGTTAATAACGACTCATTAGGACTCTTTACAGTGTGTATTAGTCACAGAAGTTATCTATAAAACTGTGGGGGCTTATCAGTGAGCAACAGTGGATGGGTGTGCAAGGAAGGGAAGGCCAAACACATTTATGAATTTATGGATAGACTTTACTGCCCTGTTGCTTACACCATACCAGTCAAAACCTCCCATTTTCAGTGGTAGTGGGTAAGTAGTAGTTATTAGCAATTACAGGATCAAATTGGAACAGAGGGTCTGATCATTTTGAAATTAGAATCACCAATCTGAAGAAAACAGGGATTACGCTTTATCATTTGTCGAATTTAGAGCTGAAGTCCTTTTGTGATTGCATATTCAGTGACATGTTGTACACCGTGGAAGAGGTTTGGAGGTTTTTAAATCTCCTACATTTAATTTATCTGAGAAGGGAATGGAAGCCAGTGATGACAGTGGTGCAAACAGTCTTTGAATGAAAACCCGATAACATTTCAATTAAAATTTCTTAACTATTCGTAACTATTTGACAGTGACAAGTCTCCTATTACATTCACGTTCGACATAGTTCGTCATATGCCCATAAAATTGAATAGTTCTAGCTTCTGTTATACAATACTTCCAATGCATTCCCTAAGCCATACTTGTTCAAATCAATTTCTTTGCATATTTTCGTACTGTGTTGTATAAAAGATGTAATAATTGCTTAGTTTTTTCTGTGTGAGTGTGATCTTCATCACCGTTTCAAAAAATAGAAATAGGGAAGTAAAGCCATTACTAAGGAAGCTGTCTCTCTATACAAATCCACACACACACACGCATTTGTATTGAATACAGTATGACCATAAAGTGTCTCTGAGAGCAGGTGTTGACTTTAAATGTTTGTTTTGTGCGTACTATCATAAAACAGTTGGTCAAATATGGGACCTCTTGATCAGAGTCCAGTGATTGGAACAAAAACATCTTTAAGCCAGTGAAAAGGGGGCTGAACCGCTGCTCAGGGAAGTCAGTGACCATAAGGTTACTGAGCAGACAAAGGTCGGACAGGGCTAGAAAATCGTGGTGCCAATATGTACCAATGGAGACTAAGAAGAGATATTTTTGTTGGAAAAATTAGGATTGTCTCTGTTGCAGATATTGTGGCGCGTTCTTTTTTGTATATAATTCTACGAGCGTGTTTGAGGTCTTTTATTGTGCCAAAGCAAATACAAGAAACTTTTATCACAATTGAATGAAAAGAGAACATGGATGGATGACGCGAACATTTCTGAAAAGAACTAAAAACAGTGAGATGAGATATGATAAAATGAAGCCAAATGAGATGCAAAGATGTCGGATGAAATATAAAAAGAAAAGAGTTACATGCAATTTGAATTGATTAGAAGAGAGGCCGAACTACAATGAGTACAAAGAATATCACAAGAACGTGTATCCATCATTATCAATTGTTTGATGATTCAATATAATAGGGCTCCGTTAAACAGGTATTATATTTTAATATATGAGTTGCTTTAGTTAGCCTTCCTTGCCAGTGTTACAACACAGAAAATTGTTAAAACGTTTGAATGAGTGACCAATATCAGTGAAGATCTCGATACAAAATCCGAAGTTTAATTCAGTTGTGCTCACACAGAAAAGATTCACAGCAAAAATAAATCTCCAGTCACTTCAAAATCCAAGATTCAGTCAAATTCTACTAAATGAAATCCAATTTATTCAAAACCCCTAGAATCCAAACGAGTCAGAATCATGTAAAATTCGTAAAAAGTTGCCTTGTACAGACAACCAACAGATGATAAAAAGAAGATCTTCCATTCAGGTGGTGTTCTAAGCATGGTCAAGGCGACCGTACAGATCAAAACTCCCATTCAAGCAGAACCAGACTCAGGAATGATCGCCGTCAGTGTCCGTTGGCTGAGGTAGAGTAGACAGGAAAGAAACACAGTTTAATCAGATCAGGGAAACCTGCAGAGTAAGAGAAAAGCAACAAATACATCAAATCATATGTACCAATGGAGACTAAGAAGTACCAACTGGGGGGTTTGATGGTTACCTGAACCATCCCTAACAAAAAGCTTTATCAAAAAGGGTTTAAGCTTCATCTCAAAGGCTGTGATGATGTTTGGTTTTTGAGATTTCTTTTAAAGGGGCTTCCAAATCATAAAGAATTCCAATATCAAATCTTGATCTAAATGCATCATTGGTTCAAGAGATCTGTCTCATGTGAGTCAAAGGACAGATCCTGGTCGAAATGGATAGCGAAGTTGCTTACAGTAGAACTACAAGTGTATATAATAATGCCATCTAGAGTAACTATAGAACTTGGCTGCGTCTTCTTGAGGTACCCAAGTCCTAAGACAGCAATGACAGTAATTTAAACTTTTAAAGCAGAAAATTCTGGGTTATAGACATTAAAGACAAGCAAATTATCTGGCATTATGAATAAGTGTTGCTGAGCATGCTCACCATTACAATGGAAATTTGTCTTAAGATATTCCTAATAGGAGTGCACAATGGAATTAAGTAATGAGATCCAACAGGACAAGCACAGACACAAGTCAAGAATCAGATGCTGGGAACAAAACCAAGTCTACCTTTCAACAGTGCCGTTTTTGTGTGTGAAAAAAACAAAAACATAATGTTCAATAGAAATTTGGATATAGGTCTATTTATCCAGAATCAAGACACAATAAAAAAAGGGTCTTTTAAAAGTAAAAGTTTAACAGCTTCCTTGGTTTACATAAGTTGCACGTAATCTGCGAGCAAGGCTTCTCCTGTTGTCTTTTCTCTGGAAACTGGTAACTCTCATGTCTCAACAAGTCCTGTAGCAGCCTGCTAAAATAGAGATCTGAATGATTATTTTAGATCACTTTCATTGCAAGCCCAAGAGAAGTGCACGTCGTTGTTTGCCTGCTGAACGCACAAGTTCCCTGTTTGACTTCTGGTAAAGTACTATATTCTACATTTGATTTATAGTCTGTAATGCCCTTATTTTTCGAATTTAAATCACAAAAAAACGTATTTCTTTCTTTATTTCTTAAATGGAGAGTGAAAAACTTGGTAGGTTTGGAATTCCTAGAGTATTTGAAAAGTTATCGGTATTAACTTTTGTTAAATAATATACTGTTCAAGTAAGCAACATGCAAGACTACTTTTTGTGAATTTGCTTATGTCCTGAGCACAGCTCCTTTCAGTGAGCACTTTGTTTTTGCAGAGCTTAGTTTTTTTAATAAAAAGATTTAGCTGGTGAATTCCTGAAGTTTTCCAGTTTTGTTTAGAGAGTTTAAACAATGCATGTGTAGGTTTTAACCACTCTATCTTTCATTTGTCTGCTTCTCTTCTTTTTTTCTTCTTAAAAAAAGCTTCTGCTGACATGAGTTATAATGAAACCGGTTCCCAGCTACCTCATCACGACGTCGGAAACATGTTCCTGCAAATATTCCTGATCATTGAGCTGATCGTGGGGCTGCCGGGAATCCTGGTGGCCCTGTGGATTTTCTGTTTACGAATGAAGAAGTGGAAGTCCCACGAGATCTTCCTCTTCAACCTGGTCCTGGCCGACTTCCTGCTTCTCATGAGCGTGCCCTTCCGGCTGGACACCCACAGTCGGAACGACAACTGGAGGTTCGGCTCGACGTGGTGCCGCATCAACCTCTACATGCTGTCTGTGAACCGCTCGGCCAGCATCGCGTTCATGACCGTAGTGGCCGCGCACCGGTACTTCAAGGTGCTCCGTCCGCATCACCCCATCAGCCGTCTAACCAGGACTCAGGCGGTCGCGCTCACCGGACTGGCGTGGACGGTCGCGGTGGCCTTCCGGATTCCGCTGCTGACGGTCGACCTCCTCCAGAAATCGGGCAACATCTCCCTGTGTCGTAGCTTCCACTCCTACGAAGTCATACCCGCGCCGATACTGGGGTACTACGTGTCATACACCGCGGAGTTCTTCCTCCCGTGGTTTTTCTTGATCTTCTCCTCGGTCAGCATTTCTTGCCACCTCCGCAGGCGGCGCCTGGACAGGCAGGCCAGGGTCCAGAGGGCCATCCGGGCGCTGATTGTGATCAGCACCGTCTTCACCCTGTGCTTCATGCCTAGCGTCGTCACAGGCCTGGCGGCATGGTACATCAAGAATGCCTACCCGGAGGATTTTTCAATGTACAATCTGTGGACCCACCTCTTCATGATTTCTATCAGTTTTACTTACCTGAACAGCGCTTTGGATCCTCTCATCTATTTTTACTCTAGTTCCACGTATCGGGATACTTTAAAGAACTCCTTTGTGAAGAGAAGGAGAATACGAGCAGCTGGCAAATCTTAATCGCTGAAAGAAGATAGAATCGAATGTAATGCTGGAGATATGCGATGTTCTAAAGCCTAAAACAAACCTTTTTTGTAGAAATGTTGAAAGCTCTTCTGATCTGTGCAGAAGCAGTACCTGAACTATGTGATGTTGGAGTCATGATTTTAAACCCACGGAAAATAGAATTAGGACAAAATTATTTCAGCTATGTGGGATCTAAGTTTGTAAAGTTAAGAAGAATTAAGCGAAGACAAAGCTTGCTTGTCCTCTGTCTGCTTGTCAACTACCTCTTTTTGAGATGACTACCAATGATGGTCCTCATAAATTGAGAAAAAGCAGTTAAAAAGTCCTTATCAGGTCCGATAAAGCATTTCGATGAATTATGTCTCACTTTGCTACTTTACTATTAGGATGTAGCAAGTTTTCCTCTGTAAAACCCAATAGATTAAGGGGGATTTCTAGTCAGCGCAACTCCAACCAAAACAAACAACTTATCTAATCTAAAATGCTTGATGCATCCCGTCCTTATTTTAAGGAACCTATTTTTGTCTTTTATACCACGTTCGCAGTATTTTTATGTTTAATTTGTAAGTTTTAATATAATTCACGGTTTTGTACAATTCGCTTTTATAGCTGATATATTTTTGTAATATTTTTTTCAGTTTTTATCTTTTTATATTGATTCTTTTTTTAAATTCTATCATTAAACATGGTGTTGCATTTTGTCTGAAATTATGTGTGAATATATATATACATGTAAATAAAGACTGAAAAACATGATCCCTACACTGTTGGTTGTGTATTCAATAGTCCACAGTCCCATACGTCATTGTCTGGGGCTCATCTTTTTGCTGTCGTACCACCTGAGGAGCTTTATTGGCTCCCTAAAATTCTCCTGGCTGGACAGTTGAGCTCCTGTCGAGCTATTCAAAGGTGAAGATTCTTTATGAATCGCTTTTTTACCTTTGAATTTGCAGGACATTTTATTTACATGTTACCAGGACTGATTGTAACTTGGACAGGAAGTTCTCAGTTATGACCAATGTCAGCACATCAACCAAAGTTTTTAAATCTTGAAGGATCATCACCACAAGAGGGCAGAATGTAACCACATGAAGTATGTATTCCTGTCTTATGTAAGACTGAACAATTAATCAACCAATAAACTTTGTGACAGCAAGACTGTGGTTCTTATATGAGAATTTTCCCTCCAGTAGGTTTAGGAGTTCTGTGGTTGAACCAGGTCTTCCTCACATCAAACATGCTTTCATTGGATTCCGTAGTTGATACCCTAGGGATCTCCATATCTGGTCCTTAAGGGCTGTGATCATGCAGGTTTAAGATGAACACAACGCCTGATTTAGATCAAATAGATCTCTTCAAATAGACGAGCCTCCCAGTGGTTTATTTTACTCAGGTGTGTTGAAGCAACGAAAAACATCTAAACCCTGCAGGACAGAGGCGCTCCAGGCTTTGGATATCGTTGCTCTATAGTATACATTTCCATGACTGTGTTCCTGATACTTTATTTGTCTACGAAACCAAATTAAACCAATCAAGTGGTGAAACCGGAAGCATAATTCAAAAGGTGAAGGAGAAGGAGAAGTTGTAAAGTGCTCCAGGAGTAAATTGTCCATATATTTATTGCAACATGTTCCACAAGAAAAGGGTCGGATAACTGCTGAAAGCGAAGCCTCCCATTCTACTGAATTTGTATTCTAAATGGCTTTACTGTGAAAATATATCTTTGAAGTGCATTTACATATCATAATTTTGATTTGGTACATTAGACAGACAAACAGACAAAAAGATAGATAGATAGATAGATAGATAGATAGATAGATAGATAGATAGATAGATAGATAGATAGATAGATAGATAGATAGATAGATAGATAGATAGAAAGAAAAAAAAGAACTTCCAGGACGTTTGCATTAGCCTATTAATGCCTTAGATATAACAAAACTTTAAAGATGGTAATGGGTAATTTCTCACTTATTTTAAGATTGACAATAATTAGTTGGAGGAGGGGCCTTTCCAGCATTGTTGAGGGCCTTTGGAAGATGTTGTTTGAGGTTCTGCATTTAGCTAAACTGTTATGGAAAAATCCGCAAGATTATCCATAAGTAACAAACTATTACAGGTCAAAAGCAACACAGTTTGGTTAGCTAGGTTAGGACACGGTTCCGCAGAAGTTGAAGGCTCAGGGGGTTCCGTGTAAGTATGGATTCAGTACATGTGGTTTAAAATGTATACTACAGTTGACTATGTTTTGCCTGACAACTCGTGATTTTACAATTGCAGACGACGGCCCAGAATAATAGGAAAAAATAACATTGAGTCGAATTGAGAGAATTTCAAGTCTGCTTTCATTATTCATCCGTACACAAACATCAATGACATCTCCTAACCGACTTTTCAATGAAAACTGCGACAAGGTCGGGCCATTAATTCAATAAAAATACTTTTATTTTGCGTCAAAACTTAAATTGACCTCTGTTATGTTTGTTAATCTCATGAAATTGTGCATTGTGTCTGTTCGCCTACACTACTGAAAATGATTAATAGCGTTACGTATAAAATAGTAAAAGTGACGTGTTTTTGACCGAAATATTATTTGTTTTATTTGTCCAAAAGCCCTGTAAATACACTATGAGAAACTGTAGGCATGAAAAAATATAAAACAAGATGAAAATTAACGGTATTTGTCCTGACTGGTTCCGTTACTTTTCATAAACGCTAATGCGATCCGGACGCAGTGAGCTCCAGTGGCGCAATCGGTTAGCGCGCGGTACTTATATGACAGTACACTGTAGAGCAATGCCGAGGTTGTGAGTTCGAGCCTCACCTGGAGCAGTATTTTGGCCACTCCGAAAATAATAATAATTTTGAATTTCTTTTCTTTTTTATGAAACAAGTATTTTATAAAAACTGAACAATTTTTAGAAGTGAAGCCTGTATGTTGGGAGGTGTTAAACCCTTGTTTTATTAATAAAAATCACAGCTGTACGTTAAGTCAATGTACAGATGTAGGATTTAGATGGAGAAACAGTAATATGATGAAATACGTTCAATAGTTAGGAGATTTATTTACAAAAAAAAAGTTTTATTTGCAGACAAATTGCGTTTTAGTTTTTTAAACAACCTATGGACAATTTTATTCTCAAAAAGGGCACATAAATGGTATTTAAGGTTCACTAACAGTAGGCGGCAGCAGTACTCCATCTCTAAACATGATAGTTTTCTGAAGTTAAGTGAACTACAAAACATTAAGTGGACATCAATCTCAATTCTTATGTAAGGGTTTAATGTATTCCAGTAAGCACAGAAATATACATTTCCAGACAAAAACTAAAAGTTTCCAGAAAAAATATTCAAGACAGGCAACATCATCGATAGACACAAATTTCAATTTGACAGATGGGATCCATTTTTGTGTTTCTTTTTTTTTTTTTTCCCGCTGTCATATGTTCAAACTCTTCATTTTGAACATCATAACTTAATCAAAAGGCTGTTGATGGATTTCATAACTCCATTTCTGGAAAGTTGTTAGATACGTTACAGGAGAAAAAAATAGACCCACGTGACATGACCATCTTTCACTAGAGGTCAGCGTTGCCCACCGTTTGGAGTTGCTGGTCAGTGCCCCTTGAGTGTGATCCTTCCTGGGTTTATCTGCTATTTCGGTGAAAACTGTCAACCTAGCATTTTGCGTGACAAGGGTGTGTGTTCTCTCTCGAATCTTTTTATTGCACGTACATATGTTTGCACATTTGATAGCCTTTTTCCATTTTGTTTCTTGTTTTAAACATTGATACAAATGTGCCTTTTTGTAAAAATAGCTCAATTTAGCCTTACCGATAGAGTTACAGGGGATGTGCCTGAACACAAACAAAGGGTTTTAACCCCAAATAAAAAAGATATTATATAACTATGATGATAGTCAAAGCTCAAGAATAGAGCTAATGTAGAAAACATGGTCTGCTGAAAACCTTGCACTATTATGGTCACTCGAGACCAGATGCAATGAGCATGAGATCACTATTTTGCAAAATGAAAGTCTTAAATATGGGATGGAAAGCTTACAACACTGCTCAAGACATTATCCAGTCACCCTCCAAAGTGGATCCAGAGGAAGCTGTGTTAGTTTTCCTTGTTTTTCTTTTTGATAACCTTGCTATCATCACCATTCTGTACCTGTTTGTGCAAACATCAACAGGAGAAGTCTTTCTGTTTGGTCAATGTTGTCTTTTCTCTCCCCATTTCCCTCCACTTTCCCACTGGAAACCAGCCTCCTTTGCTCAACGTGCGCCTCACCAATGTATAGTTCGGAATGAGAGTGAAAGTGCAAAGTTTAGGATACTGGTTAGGTAAAAAAAAAAAGAAAAAAGAAAAAGAAATTAGCTTCAGTCTGTTAGCACAACAAGATGCCAGTCCCATAATTACAGCATTCTTCTAATTAGGTGATGCAGATGCAGACCAAATGGTGTTTCACTGTATTTTTAAAATAATTGTAAGGTTACTCAAAAAATACACAAAAAGTTATTTAGTGAATGTTAGCTCAGAACCATTTTACTTAAGAGTTGGATCCAACCATCACTTAAACTGTAGTGGTAAAATGTTAGTATTAGAAAAAAGGACTTGGTCTAAATCTACTATCGCTTCAGTTTCATGAGCCTTTAGTCTACCAAAAGTTAAGTTCTGAGCAACAACATTATGTCCTGAATCAGAACAACTTCAGAGGGCTATTGCATCTTTAAAATTGAGATTTTGTCACTCGTCTTAAGTTTTGCATTGAATTTTTTGTATAATATTTCTTATCTTGAATAATTCGATGTATGATCATTAAACCTATTTTCACTTGAAGAAGCACAAGATGAATATGTTTGGATGAAAATAACTTCTTTGCAGCCTTCTGTGATTATCAATGAGTTTACCATTCCTGGTTAAGGACAATAAATAAAGATAAACTGATTAAATCTAACACTGACATATTCATAAAGGGGAAAACAACCTGTTCGTAAGTAGGCCTAAAATAAAAGTTGGTGGTTTGGAAGAAGCCATTGTTGCCTCAGATGGTTTAATAAGACTCTCTTCTTATATTAAACTATTTTTCCAGATTAATTTAGATCCTTTTGGGTTAATCGATCATCATTTTCTGTGAATTCCACCAACGAGCAACCTCTGATTTCTAAGATTGCTTAAAAAAACAAGACATTCCAGAGTCGAGACCAAGACACAGACTTGCATAAGTTTTTAAATATGAAAACTGTCCATTCCAAATTAGGACCAATGTTATTTCTCCTAATCAGGCCACGCTTGCACAGAAAGATTGCCATCTTTGTAGCTTATCTGATCATTATCTGGTTGAAGAACGACAGCTTAAAATGTCCTCACTGCTCAATTTTTTGGGATTTATATATTTTTTGTTAAAGTGTATACAAAAGTAACAGAGGTACTGACATGGTAAAATGGGATTAGCATTAAACATGCTTGCATACAGCTTTAGATTTAAGTTTTTTAGGAGTAAACAACGGTTACAGAAACAAACTATGCAGCGTTTTTATATTATATATATTTAATTATACCTAAGTATAGTGTATATAAAAGAATGCACCTGACATGACAAATGAAATACACAAATAATAAGAAAAAATAAACAAATAAAAAATAAGTAAATCATTTTAAAAAAATTAGAAGGAGGTGGCGATTCGCTATTAATGATGTAAAAACTATTACCTCCGATTCTTTAGTAGAATATAGA